ATTTGTTTCTGGGTTTTCCCTTAGTTTTTCTATAATTGAAAGATTTGTTTCGCATATCACGCATACGCCATGTTGTTTTGGCTTTTTTGTTGCTTGTGGCATTCAACAACATTACGCATACGCACTGTGTGCGTAGGCATTTTGTGGGGAGTGGGGAAACTGCTTGAAGCGGGTCTTATGGGAGGATTAACAAAGCGTTTAATCGCAGCTTGACACACACACACACACACACACAAGAAAAGGGGGGGATTTCCTGTTTGTTTTTGGGCCATTTTTATGGACATTTACTTGCTTAACGTGCCTCTGGCTCTTCTTGTTGTTATTTTCGTTGTTGTTTTTGTATGTTTCTCTTGCTGCTACAAATTAATGTTGTTGTTTGTGGCTCCCAGAGCTGCTGCTGCTGCTGCTGCTGGTGCTGGGAATGCTTGCTGTTGCGGCTTCTGATGCTGTCTTTCACGTTCTACAAAATAGCAATAAAGCGAATTTTTCCACACATTGCATACTTTTGAGCGTCACACATACACACACACACACACACATGCATAGAGTTACACGGAGCAGAGAGAGAAAATTGCAGTTACTGCCGCTGCTGCTGCTGCTCCTGCCGCCGCTCTGTGGGTAGCTGGCTCCCGTCTGCTCCTCGGTGGCTGGCCTGGCTGAATTTTAAAACAATTTTTTATACACAATTTTTCATTGTTGCCTGCCTCCTGTGAGGCGGGTGTGCGCCGGGGGTGGGTCGGCAGGATGCGGCTGCGGGTTCGTTGGGAAACTTCTTGCTGCTGCAGTTCCTCTGCTCCTCTGTTTCTCTTTTATTTTTTTTGCAGGAGGTAGCAAGTTTTCCCACTGACTGAAACTTTATTTATTGCAATATTTTCGTAAGTTGCAAATCTGGCACGAACACACACAACACACACACGTGTGTGGATGGGGCATACGCACACGCTACGCACACACACACACACACATACAAACACACACAGTCGTCACTCGACGAGGCACATGAAATTTCGAGTTGATTATAAAACGACAGAGCAAAAGTTGGCGCAACACTAGCAACACAGAGACAGCAGCGCAGCAATGACACACACAGCGGTGGCAAGCGGAGCGGAGCGCAGCGCAGACGAAGCCGAAGCTGAATCCACAAGCATAGAAACAGAAACAGAAGCAGGCAGAAGCAGTGGCAGTGGCAGCAGCAGAGGCACGAAACAGAAGCAGCAGCAGACAGCAGCAGGCAGCAGTCAGCAGTGGCGGCAGCAGCACCCGAATCCGAAGCTTTCGCAGCTGGAAGCCTGGAAATGCATTTGCCGAAGCGGCTGTGGAGAGGCTGAGAAGCTTAAAGCGCATGCGCCGCCGCAAGAGAGCTGGAAAAGCCGACTGGGATGGTAGAGAGTTTTTACACCATTACAGAGAAGAGACAGAGAGAGCCAAAGAGAGAGAGAGAGAGTGAGTCTTTGTTGGGGCTTTTTATGGTTTATGTGTCAGTGTAACAATGGAACGAAGTCCATTACAATTAACAAGTGAGCGAGTGAGCGACTCCATCACTCTCTCTCGGTCTCTCCATCTCTCTCTCTCTCTCTCCCTGTGAGAGTCGCACTCGGACTCCCAGAGATACGAAGAAGAATGCGGAGGCTGCGGCTGCGGCTCATTAGTGTCAAGGCGATATATAAATTTGGCATTAACAAGACAAGATTTCTCAAGTATGCAATTAATATGCATATGCATAGGATACTCTCGCCATTTGCCATTTGCCACGCCCCACCTTTTGCATGCAACAACGCATCATCATCATCATCATTATCATCTTGATTCTGAGGGACTCTTCATCATCGAATGAATCTCTGGCTAAGCAAGGGATTTTGGTTTACAAAAAGAGAAAGTTTTGCTTTTTCCCCTCCCCATCATTCAGTTGTTTGCTTAGGAATGTACGAGGGATGCTGCCTCTGCCTGCCTACAGATACTGGGGGGATACTGGATACTAGAGTGGGGTAGGGGTTGTGCTCTGCTGTGTGTGGCAGTTTGTTTTTAATCAACGTGTAACTGGGTCAGCTTTGGGGCTGCAACTAAAAATATCATTTATGTTGCAGACAAATGCGCCAGTTGACTTTCCCATCTTACGTTTTTTCGGCTTTGAATATATTTATACACTCGCACTTATATACGTATAGGATATATATACTACATACTATACATACATATATGTGTATATATATTTTTACATTCAGATCTAACAGGGGCTCCTCTGTTAACAGTTGCAGATAGAGGAGTTCTTGCTGCTGCTGCTGCTGCTGCTGCTATTACTGCTAGCTCTGATGCTGTTGACCCAATTCCCTTGTCGCCTCTCGCTCTCTCTCTCTCTCCCTCTCTCTATGTATAAAAAGCACAGATTGAAGGGTGGAGCCTCCCGCCCATAGCCAGCATCGGGGACTTATGACGAATGTTCAGCATTTTGCAAAAGAAATTGCATTCTCAAAGCAAGGGAAATTACATTTCTGGTGAGAGTTTAATCAAAACACTCGTATACAAGGGGCATGCAGCAGCGTACCTCGGTTGCCTCTCACACTTATAGTTACACCAATAGAATCGTGTGTAGAACACTCACCTCTGATGATGTTAAATAGCACATCCTCGAATCGGTGCTCTCAATCGAAGCCTGTTGTACAATTCCATAGCGTGACTCGCGATCGCTCAAATACTCCGATCGCAGACTATCCTGACGTATAAACTCGGCCCTAGAATGCACAATTAATGATAAATTAATGGTATTAAATTTAAAAATATTGTTTGAGCTTAGGGGAGAACTCAAAGAGAACACCCACCGTTGCTCTAGGGAATCGGCACGTGCACTCTTGTAGCCCGAATCGTTCAGGCTGCTGTCCTGACGCAGCGATGGCAACGAGTCCCAGGGCGAACGCTTGTGTCCCCCAGTGCCTGGCATCTGCTGGGACATCATGCCATGGCCCGAACCAGAGCCAATTGTCGAGCTGCCCGAACGCCAGCCATCCGAATGGCGGAACCATTGGGCACGAGCCGATTCGCCAATGCAAGAGGCGCAACGCGAGTTGGAGAAACTACAGAGAGAGATAGGTAAAGATTTAGTGGCATATTAATATATATAAATGATAAAGCATACCTGGCATTATGATCCGATAGATAGCCACGATCGCGTTCGCGCTCTCTCTCGCGTATCAACTCATTCCGATCGCTGTAGTAGCCATCACGATCGCGATCACGCTCCTTGTCGCGTATCGAGGACAAGGGTCGGTGTGGCGGCAATGGCAAGGTCGAAGATTTGGCATTGGCTGCAGAGCGAAAGATATAGTAAACAATTAGCACGGATTCGTGATAGATCAATCCGAAATTTAAAGGCATTCCAAAACAGTTTGGGGAATGATAATAAGCCATTGGATATAGGTATAGATAGAGAGATCTCATCGTGCAAGAGTTGGAATGGAACTACTTACGCCTACGTAGTGGATATGGGCTGCGCTGGTTCGATCCGGGTAGGCTTTCAGCGAATTCTGATGATGGTTTTTGATTGTTGTGGGATGTTAAATGAGCAGAGGAGGCAATGGATGAGAGCAGTTTTGTTGGTGTTATGTCAAGGGATAGCATTAGGTTTAGATATAGTTTTGAAAAGATTAATTTAACATGAATAAATTTATTATAATGGAAAAAAAACGTTTGTAGAGACAATTCGCACGACAAATACTATTTTAAATTCTACTATCCTCCAAAGCGGGATTCCTACACACACACACACACATACACAATCAACCCTCGTTCCAAAACATTCTGCAACACACATTCTCTTTCTCCTTCTTAATCAGATTATCCACCCCAACCCGGCGCTATCGAAAGCACCTGACCACTGACATGGGTTCTGCGAACAGGCAACGATAGACAGAAAAACAAACCGACAGACAGACAGACAGATGGATTGACTGACAGACAGACAGACAGACAGACAGACGAAACATTTCGATTCAAAAGCTAATTAAGATAGGAAATTCAATTAGAAAAACGAAAAACACAAAACAGAATCGAAAGTTCAGCTACACACAAACAACAACAACAAGAACAGAACAAGAATGGAAACCAAAACGAAGAAAAAAACGAGGAAGAACACTACGGAAACCCTACTCACCCAGATTCTCCATGCTCTGGGAAAGCAGAGCCTCGAACGTATGCAGGCTATAGGACTCGGCGTCCATGCCCTTGGCCAGAGTATTCCTCAGATGCATCTCATACTCCAAGAGCAGCCGCGAGGTGGGGCTGCCCGGTGTCGGGGTCACATTGGGCGCCTGCTGATGATGATGCTGATGCCGCGCGGCTCGCTGATGGGCAATCGCCTGTTGCAGCTGCTGATGATGCGCCTGCTGCTGCTGTTGCTGCTGCTGCTGCTGTTGTTGTTGCTGTCCCGAAGAGGGCTGCTGACCGTAAGACTGATCCTGATCGGAATTGCCATTACTGGAACTGGGAGTCGTGGCATAGCACTGGTTATCGAACATCACGTTATCCGAGGGCGGCGAACCCTCGATGCAGCTCCGCTCTCGCTCCAGCTCCAAGTAGAGATTACGCGGCGGATAACCGCGTCCAATTTCATGCGAAGATCTGTGTGTGGGTAAAGGGTATCAATGTTTCATCCGTTTCATTGTTAATTAGCTGTTGCAGCTTAGCTGTTTTCGGACACCCACCTTGAGCCGGAGAAGCGCGACGACTGACTGCTGGCCCGGCCCATTGTGTTGTTGTTCATGCCGTGATGACCACCGCCACCGCCCATTCCCATGCCCATGCCCATGCCCATGCTCATGCCGTGCTGGTGCATGTGCTGGGGGCCCAATGTCTGGGCCGCATTGGCATTATAGTAGTTGTAGCGGCGTCGGCCCATCTCTGGCGAGGTGACGGGCGACTCGGTGCTGGGCATTGGCTTCAGCATGCGCTTCAATGTGCTGGTATCCACGTTCATGTCCTCGGTGCTCTTGGTCTTGCGGCGAGTATTGTTGTTGATTACATTGTGCTGGTGCATGTCGTGCGAGTGTGCGTCGCGTGCCTGTACCGTCCAGGGGTGGAGGAGCAGAGAGAAGACCAATGAGTGGGTGAGTAATGGCCAGATTTAGCGGCTAAACATACCATATCATCGCCAAAGTCCTTGCTGCGTGTGCCCGTTGACTTGGAGGACGAGGTGCAGGTGCCCACATTCTGATGGAGGCCGCCACCAGCTTGGGTGCCCTCGCTCTTCGACAGATCCATGTCCATTTGGCAGGCGGCCGTATCGTCGCTGCCCACCTGAGAGCCCACATGATTCTGGGTGCACATATCCGCATTGCCAGCCGCATTGCCCACCCCGGTCACAATTACGCCCGGTGTATTGGTGTTGACCCCAGCATTGGCCACATCCAGTCGCTCCTGCTGTCCCTTCATCTGACGCTGCAAAGTGTCTGTGTTAAGCCAATGGAAGAGAAAGAGAAATTCGTGATTATTAGAGAGAATTAATGGAGAATTCTTTGGCTTGGGGGGTGGGGGCTTGGCTTACCGCTTTGGCTTACTCCCGGCCCACCGCTGGCCACATTGTCGTACAGCGAGGTGCTGCTTACAGCACTGACCACCTTGCCACTGCCACCCACCTGCTGCTGCTGCTGCTGCTGATGGCCATCGACATCGGTGATGCGGTGCGAGCCCACGTTGCGCGGCAATGTGGATGAACCTGCAATGAGGATGGCGGATGAGTTTTGATGGGTGTGGGGATGCGTGGTGGAGTACAGGACTTGTCGCCTAATTGCTAAAGCTCTGAGTGTTCATTCGTTCATTGATCTTCACATTTTACAGGATTGCTTTGCGGGGAAATCAAAAGAACCAAACAGAGGAAATGAAACGTAAACTTTCTAGAGAGAGCACCAGACAGAGAGAGGTGTTCATCATCGGGTTACACTGTACGTCACATATGGGCACAGATTATGGATGTGTTTGCTCTCTAGAGGAGGACCTATCCCAGTATTTTTTGTTGGTGGGGGGACGTTTGGGGGTTTTATAGTTTCTTTTTTGTTTTGTTTGTTTGGTTTGTTGTGTGTGTTTTTTGTTTGCTCTCACCTCTAACACGTGGATCGGTTCTCAGGCGCGCATACTGTTCGGCGGACATGCAGGTGCATTGGGGCTCCTGGCGGACGCGCGACGGCGACGCCGGTGTGCTGAGAGGCTTTCGCTTGGCCTTCACCTTGCCCTTGCCCGGCGGATCCAATTTCAGCGAGTACGACGACGAGGCCTTTCGTGAAAATTTGAAAGAAGGCGACTGTAAAACGTCGCACTATCATTAGGTTAGTTGATTGGGGATTACAAGGTTCTGTGTGTGCGGTTTTTTCTTCCTTTCCCTCCTCTCTCAAACTCTGTCTATTTCTTGTTCTGTCTTTCTCTAGAATCACTTTCTCTACCGCCTTCTGAGTTGGCGATATTTGTGGGCACAAGCTTGGCGAGCCTGGCGAAACTTTCACTTTCACTTTCTTGAGGTGTGTTTCTGTGTTTTGTGTAGGTTAGAACATATCTTACGAGAACTACTGGTGGACGAATAATTTTAGAATTGGGGGTGCAAAAAGAAGGTTTTTCGAAGCTTGAGCTTTGGGTGCTTATAGCCTTGATCTACGGTTTAGTTTAGGCATACAATATCTATACTATATATCTAGATAGTAAAAGCAGTTTTAGTAGTAGTAGTAGTAGTAGTATTTTTAGTAGTATTAGTAGTAGAAGTAGTACGAGTAGTAGAGAGTGTAGGACATATATAATACCTACTATATAGTTTAGTTTATATAGTTTTGAAATGTTCTCCTAGAAGTTGTTGCTCTTCTCTTTCTCTCGATTATTCAGCGCTTAGCGCCTTAGCCACCTTAGTAACTGATTTTTGATAACTTTGATCTAAACATCGACTTAGCCTAACGTTAACATTTGCTTTTGATTATTGGATACTGTTCAGAACTTCAAACTTGAACTTTGCTTTTGCTTTTGTTTTTGATTTGATTTCTTTTCTGTATTAACTTTAACAATTTATTGTAAGCCATGTGCGTGGTGGTGTTGGTTGAATATTCGTATTCGTATTCGATTTTTGCTTTTTTTATTTCTTTGTTGGGTTTCAGAAACCTCCATGGAAGCGGCGCGCCTTCAAGGCGATAAATTATGCTCCAAGAATATACTATATATATATATATAACTCTGATTCTGTTACTGTAACTGTTACTGTCTCTGATTCTACGCTGCTGCTAGTATTTCTGATACTCATTCAAATCCTCACTGGAGTAAGATTGTTTTTGTTGATTTTTGAAAATTGCATCGATTTGTAGTAAACCGCCCACTTGCAAGGGATCTGCGGATCGGGAGGAGCGGAGGAGGCGGATTGGCGGCTGGGCACGGGAGGACGACTCGGGATTGGGTTTCGGTTCGGATTAGGGCTCATCGGAAACGGATTGTAGGGGATAGGTAACGGTATTGTAGTAGAGGATACGTGCGATTGTTTTAAAGCGTTTTGCGTTTTTCTTTTGCATTTTCATTCCATGTACAAATCCACAAAATTATTTACATTTCAATCATTGATCATCAATCAATTTTTATGGGTTTTGTTTTTGGTTTATTTTGTTGTTTTCATTTACATTTTTCGTTTCGTTTTAATTGTTGTTTTTTTTTGTCAAATAATTTTTTTAATTTTTCGGTTTATGGGCACACGTGAAATGCAAACGAATCGAGTTGAAAAATATATTTATACATACATAAATATATATATTTAGAGATAGTTAAATAAAATTATTTGTTAGAGATAATAAAAGCATTTCGAAGGGGGTTGTGGGGCACGGGTAGAGAACGGATATATTAAATATATATATATATTTTTAGAATATAGATTTTTCAGAGACAGTCGGTGGGGGTGTACATTCGGGGGTTTATTATAGAGGGTATTGTTGTTGTTGTTGTTTTTGTTGTAATTGTTGTAGTTGTTGTTGTTGAGTTTTGGTTGGAGTTTTTTGTTGTTTGTTGTAGGAGGTGTTGCGTGTTTTATTTTAAATATATTTGTTAACATTTTATTGATATTGATATTCGGGACAGAAATATCCGTCGGTATTCATTTTTGGGTATTTGTATGTGGTTATTTTTGAAAATGTTTTCGAATTGAATGTTTCGTACGAAAATGAAATGCATCAAAAATGAAACATTTTTATTTGTGTTTTTTTTTTTTTTGGGGTGGACATTATATATATTTTTAGAGGGGATATATTGTTTTTTTTTGGCGTGTTTCGAGAATGATTTCGAAAAATGATTAGAAGAGAGAAAAAGAAATGAAAGAATATATAATATAAATATATTTAACAAATTTTAGTGTGTGTGTGTGTGTATGGCTGTGTGTGAGTGTGGTGTGTGTGTGTGTTTTGGTGTCTGTCTGCGTTATATGTTTTCCGGATCGGATCGTTGCCGCTTTTGTATCTTCTTCATCATTGTTTTGTTTTGCTTTTTGCACATGAATGAGGCACATACATATACAAAAATGGTTCCAAAAAGTCCTACGACTTTTGGTTTGGTTACCCCCGCATAAACATCGAAAGAAACACACATAAACAAAACAAAAAACACTGAGAGTGAAAACGAGAGTGGAATCTGGGGTGGGTGGGTAGTGGGTGGGCGGGTAGACACATAGAGCAATAAAAGTTTACAACAAATACAACAGTCAGGTATGTGTGATGTGTGTGTGTCTGTTTCTGTGATTCTGTGATTCTGTGGTGTGATCTTATAGGTACATGCCCGGCAAAAGGGGACTTCCATTTGAATCTACTACGATATGTACATATCTTTAGCTGCGATCGAAAGACACATTGGGTGACAGAGAAAGAATTACTTGGTGTGTGTGTGTATGTGTGTGTGTGTGCGTGTGCAGTGCTGTGTGTGTGACACAGTGGAAAATAAATAATATGAAGCGATACTAACGTATTTTTTTACAATGTAAGATACCTGCAACATATGATGCGCAAAGTAAGAAAAGAAAAATGAAATTATTATTAGACGCTAGTCCAAATAGTTTATGTTTGACTGCTATTATATTATATAATCTATTCATATCAATAGGCATATGTAAGTATGTCGTGTATACATGTGTGTGTGTGTGTGTATAAAGATTTTTCCTGAATGTTCATGTATGAATAGGCGACAATGATAATGGCTATTTCACAATTCAGAAATTAAGTATACGAGTCACTCAGATACAAACTTTTTACATTTTAAGAATTTTTTATTTTCCATTCCTTCCCTATCCCAGCGTGGCTTAACAGTAAAGGGTGACTTTTCGTGTCTGGCCCAAAGCTCTATATCTAGTTTGCTTTTAGCAACTACGAATCTACTTTAAAAATGTGATATCTTTTTATTTTTAGACTTAAAGTAACGGACTAAAGTAACGGACAGCTTGGAGACTCTTTAAAATTTCAGTCTTACATTGGATTTAATTTTAATATTTTCTCTCTCTCTCAATTTCTGAAAATCGAAGTTAGTGCATTTCTAATTCTGAGTCTGTGTGTTGTGTGTGAGTGTTTGTTTTTGTGCGTGTGCTGTATGCATGTGTGTCTACAAATTCTACTTTACTTTTGGCCAAATTCTTCAACGATTTCAACTAGAAACTAAGTCATTTTCAATTATGGAAAACTAAAGAAAAAACTAAAAAATTCATTAAAAAACTCAATATAAAAAAAAAGAGTGAACTGGACGAACATTTTCCTCGCGTTAAAATTTGTTCTAATTGGCGGATTCCAAGGAAATAGTTAAGGTTTCTTTTTGTGCGTGTATTGTCTCAAAGGGACAGATGGACAGTGATTGCTGCTGAGCGAATGAAGCGCTTGATTATGATTTATTCTTTAGATTTATCGAGTGTCGAGTGGTGACACTGTGAAAACTTGAGTTTGATTATGGGATACATATGTATGTGGCATATGCATGTATGTGTATGTAGGCACGTTAATAAACAGACAGATGTATGTATATGCGAAGCAAACATCATCATCATCATTATCAGAGCCAGAGCATTATCATTATCATCATCATACTCGTATCATATCATATCATATCATATCATCTTTAGCATAATCTTGGCCTGGCCGCCATCGCCATTCTCTCTGCTGTACGAGTGGGTAGTAGTACGAGTACTGTATGTGTGTTTTCATTGTCTGTGTAAGTTCGTTGGGTGTTTTTTCTCTGGTTCTTTGGATGGGTGAGTGGTTCAGTTGGGGGATTCGATGACAGTGGTTGGTGGTTGTTGGCAGGTGGTTAGGGGGAGATGCTCTGGTAGTAGTTTAGTAGTAGTTTAGTACGAGTAGTAGAGTGCTTGAGCTGGCTGGGAGGCATGATTAGCCAGTGACGAAGGGTGGGGGTGGGGACAGGTTGCCCTGCCCCCAGACCATTGTTTTAGTGTTGTATTTAGTGGGGTGGTGGCTGAGGTTTTTCGGTATATTTCGGTATCGGTATCAGTTGAGGTTTTGATTTTTGAATTCAATATTTCTTGTGTGTTTTTTTTGTTTTCTCTTTTTTTAAGTTTTTTTCTCTTTTTTGCGCTTTTGTTGTCGTTGTTATGCAAAATGATTTTGCTTGATTTTTTTTTTCTTTTTTCTGTTTGTTTGTTTTGGCAGACTGTAAGAGAATACTTACACAGCACTCTCGGAACTGTTTGGCATCAATGGGCGATGTAAAGTTCAGGCCCCAAGTGTCATTTGTCATGGGATCCTTCCAGTAAACGAAGCACTCCGATGCCTGGCCAATGCGTGTACCTGTTTGTAGAGAGCCAGCGGTAATTAGATGTTCAATAAGGGGAGGATTTTCCAACATGAAGATGAGGATGCTGATGATGATGTGCACTCACCTGGCTGCACAAGTCTCACATCGAGTATCTTGTCCACCTGACTGTTGTACGCGGTGATGTGAAAGATGCACTCGGGCGAGTCCTGAATGCAGGTGATGTTCACAGGAACCAAATCTTCTGACACTTGTTGCCACTTGACGGTGCCGGCTCCGCTGGCGGATACATGGAAGACCTCAGCCCACAACCTGAACGAACTATTGTTGGTTAGAAATACAATTATCAAAGATGGTAAATTGATTGATTGATTGTTTGTTAGTTGAATTAATCCAATTTCAATTTTTTTGTAAGAGGAAATGTTTTTCAAAACAAAGAGTCGCATTTGTTGTTGTTGATGTTGTTATTGTTGCAGTTGTTGTTGTTGTCGTTGGAGGGAAGGTATAGTTGAAGCAGGAGCACATTAGTTGTTGAGTTTTCAAAGTGGGTTTATTTTTTTGGGCCGCATTTTTGTGTGTGTTTTGTTTTTGAATTAAGTTGGATAAGTTCGTAAGTTTTTTTGGTAATTGTTTTTTTTTTGTTTTGTTGTTTTTTTTGAGAAAGAAAGAAGAAAGAAAGAAGACAAACACAATTAGTTGGATTGGAAAAAAGTTGATCGAACGAGCGGATTCAATTGTGTTCCTAGTTATTTTTCTTTCAGTTTGTTGTGGTTTGGTGTTATTGGTTATTGTTTGACAGTTTGGCCCCACATTCGACAGTCAGAGAACTTAAACAGAGTCAAAGAAGATTGTGGAGTACACAGAGATAGAGGGAGAGAGTCCTCCCCCTGGTCCCTCTATTAGAACGCACCTCAGTAGATGACCGTCGCGTCGTCGGGAACTCTGCCAGGGTGAATCCTCATAGCGATAGGCCTTGCGCATAAGCGGGGCACAGGAGCAGCTCAATTTGTTGCCCATGGCGCAGTTGGCGCAGCTACCCGCAGATCCTATCGAATAAAATATTATTGGTAGTTCAGAGATTGAATTATGATTAGTTATATGCAAGTACTTACCTTTACCAGAGGCACCCCGATGTCACCACATGCCGCTCACGTCCGCCTGCGAGAGCGCCTGTCCGCGATTTAGCGACTGCGATCGCTGATTATGCCGATGGCCGTGGTAGCGACTTCCTCGCTGCAAAGATTAAACACATGAAATATGAGAAAATCTATCAAATATCTGCTATGTTTCTTCAGCTGTAAGATTACAAAAAACAGGTCTTTAATGCAACCCAACCCACACGCCAACGTTTATTATCATCCACACATAACCGAGAGAGACCGCAGAGGCCGAGAGGTGCGAACGCCGAACGCCGCCAGTGCAGTAGTGCAGTCCACTCCCCCATCACGCCACTCCACTCCACTCCACTCGGCCGCTGAAAAGCTGTTGTGTAGGTGTCAAAAACAAAAGAAAATCCACAACTCAAACGGAACGATGTAAAGCGGAAAATGTGCTTTGAAGTTTTTGCTTTTGATTTCGTTCTCTGGATGCACATTGCAGATGCGAAATATCTTTTTATGGTGGGGGGATAATATTTTCCACAACTATTCACTCTGTCTGCCCCATATGTCTGCCACATGGGAGATGGCTATAGCTATGCTTATAAATATATATATATATATATAGTATGTATAGCCGTATAAATTGATGTATCTATTTATGTTTACATTATTTAAACTAACGCGGAGACAGAGACACCTGTTTTATGGCCATTCAGTTGCCGGCTTTGCTTCCTATGTGGCTATTGGCTGGCTACTGACTTACTCGGATTGCGGTTCACAGATTGCGGCTAAAAGAGATCTTGAAAATGCCAAAACAACATCACAAATGAACGCCACAGACTCAACTAAAAGACGCCAAAGAAAAATCAAAATCAAAGCGTTTTCCATTCACACTCTTGCGGCGGCCCCAGTCGGCGGCTCTCGGGGCTCTCACTCTCTTTTGGCGTCTTGTGAGCGAGCCATTGACGCCCACACAGCCCGCATTTTGCTCAAGAGATCTCTCAGATCTCACAGAAGATCTCTGCTGGGAGATATGCTTGCTCGGGGTCCCAAAGAGTGATCATCAAGTGGACCACTAGACAACGACGACAACAATGGGCATGGGAATGGGTATGGGAATGTGAAATGGGAATGAGAATGGGGGAAATGGTACCACATCTCTCTGTGTGTTTTCCTCTCTGCGTGCCTCATGCTGCTGCACGTGTTGTTGTCAAAATGTATTTTTAAAATCAATCAAAAGGCGAAAAAAAAGAGCGAGAGTGGATCTCGCCTCGCAGCAATCTCTCATGGGGAAATGCAATTGGGAATTGAAGGTGACACACATTTCGGGGCGATGAGCGACACATTGAATTGGTTCATCAAACTGTTGACAATATTTGGCAAGTGATGGATATTTTTAAAGGGAAGAGGGACATGAGAGAATTCCTGTTTATTTCAGAATATATGGAAAGTGAAACTCTTTGAAGAATAATTTTTAGGGAATATAATTAAAATGGGATAACTAATAAGAACAAATACTTGAAAATTTCAGTATACCCATAAACGAAAAGTTTTTCTTAACCACATCTAAGCTAGAACTGATGGATGATAAAAATCTGACTTGATAAAATAAATCTAATACAATTTGGTGATTTTTTTGAGATAGGGAAATGCAGAAAGCAGTAAGGCAATTTTTTCCTTGAGTATCTCTGTAAAAATGGGAACTTCAGCGCTCTCTTTAAAAATCCTGACAACTTTGTATTTTCCCGATCCTTAAACTCATTTTTATACAAACTTTGAATTACAACAGGCTCTGACTTTTTATGTTTTTTTTAATGGATAAGTAATTGATATTTTGTTGTCTTGAAACATATACACACCTCCACATGGCCCCAGCCATCGGCATTCAGTTTGGCGGCTGCCTCGACACTTTCCTTGGCGCCCATTGCTTTGTTTTAGTTTTCTTCTTTTTTTTTTTAGTTCACGTTTGGTTGCTTTTATGTTTTTTATATGGAAATTGTTTCGCTTTTCGTTAAGTTTCGTTTGGGGGGTTTTCTTTATGGTTAAGTGCTTTCTCGATGCAGGGTTAGACGAGGGGTGCGGTGAGACTCGGGGAGTCGGGCAGATGTCAGATGTTATTTATTTTGAGGCCCAGCAGGGAACCAGGGAGAGTTTGCGTTTTTGGGTCCTGGCTCTGGTACTGGATTCTGTGGCCAAGAGACTCGGTTCAATGTATAAATATTGAGCGGATTGACGTTGACGTCGTTCCTGCCGTCACACTCTCTCGCACAGACTCGGACTGCTCTCTCTCTCTCTCTCTCTCTCAATTTTTCTCTCTGTGTTGATTGAACGGGAGAGAGCAAGGGATGCTGCTGGGTAACTGAATGCCGTTGAAGGCGGCTTTCAATCGACTTTCGTCAGGTTGAACGCGCTAACGTTGAAAGCAGTTAAATAATAGAACAGGAGCACCACATCCAGCACCTCCCCCTGCGCCTCCTGCATGCGTGTGTTTGCTCCCAGAGTCCGATTCTCGGGCTCCTTTGCGTGGTATGTTCCTCCTATATGACGCGTGTGGGTCCTTCCGTGCGTCTCGTCTCGTCTCTTCCCGTCCCGTCTCTCTGCGTGTGGCGTGTATTATTTATGCAGCAGAATGTGTTCTTGCTACCGATGATGCTTCTGCTTCTGCTGCTCCTTCTCTAGAGAGTTTTAGCTTATTGTTTGCTTTTTATGGTTCGCTTCCTTTTTCTCCTTTTTATTTTATTTTTAATTTTTCACGTTTTTTGTGCTTTTAATCGGTGCGTATGATTAATTTAGATTTCCCTATAATTTTGGGAACTTTTCTGAAGTGTTATTTCGAGGGTTGTGCCTGCATGGGATAATCTAGAGGTTTTAGTTGGGTTTTGTTGTTTTATCCATTCGAGCTTTTCGATTTGGCAACGCCTTTTGGGCAGCACGGTCCACACAAAAAATAGTTACGTTTTTCGGTAATTTTGAATAATTTCCGAATCAAAATTTGACTTTAATTAAAGATCACTTTGCGCGGTTTAGTTGGGAATCAATTATTGTTTGATTTTTGTTATTTTATGCAAGAGTTTAAGTATTTTCTTCACTTTTTTCTTTCTTTCGTTTTGGCCACAGCGACAGGGAGCAGGAGCAGGTTCGGTTCGGATGATGGCTCTGTGTATTTTTGTGCTCTGCCAAAATACCTACAAAACTTGACGAAACGCGAATGTTTTCACTTGACGAAACAGGAGGCAGGAGCAGCAGCAGCAGCAAAACATGTGGGAGAGAGGAGCATAGCAGAGCAGAGCAGAGATGGGAGAGCAAAGTAGAGCAGAGATGAGCGTCGAATTACAGCGACAGCCGAAAATTGCTCCCTCTCCTCCACTCTCACTCTCTCTACCATCCTCGCCCTCCCCCCACTATGCTGCTGCTGATGCTGCTGCTGCTGCTGCTCCTGTTGTTGTTGCTGTACAACAAATATTTTAATTTCGATTTCTTTCTTGCTTATCCTTTACTTTGTATGCCTCCTCCTCCTCTTTTCGCTCCTCTTCTTCTCATCGCTTTGTGTATATGTGCATATGTGTATGTGTGTGTGTGGTCTTAGCTTAGAGGTTTGTGCAGTTTTCCCCCACCTCCCTCCCTTCCTCACCCACTATACCATCAACGTCTTTCCCGTCTGTCTGTTCCGTCTGTTCTGTCCCTATGTGTTTGTGTGTGTGTGTGTGCCTCTAAAAAAGTTGCATAAATCACCACACCTTAATTTACTTAAATTTCATTTCATTTCACTCCACTCCCCCTCCCATCACATCTCCATCGCTGTGGCTTTAATTATGTTTATTTTCATGATTTTCTGCTAAACTTTTATTTCAATCGGAAAATGCCTCGTGGGCGTTTTTTCCAACACAGTCCCGTCCACGCAGTCCACACAGTCCAACTGTGTGTGCTACACTCTTTTTTTGTTGGTTTGGTGTGGTTTTGATTTGCCATTCCAATTTCACTTCCTTACAATTTCGCTATTATTTGATATTTTAGGTTTAGGTTAGAATTTAAGTTTGTTTTGTGCGTTGCGTTTGGATGCTCGGTTTTTTCTATTGTGGGCGGGGGCGGGGGTGTTTCGTTTTTTAAAGCCTAAATAGTATTTTTCAAGCAGAGGCGCAGTGGAGAAAAAACGACCAGCGCCAGCCACAACCGTCGACTTCGAAATTCGTTTTGACTTTGCCAGGAGCAGGCAGAAAAGAAAGGAGCAGAGCAGAGCAGAGCAGCGACAGAGGCAGAGGCAGAGCAGCAAAGATGCTGCGACGTTAACAGCGACGCCAGCTGCGCTGCTTTGCTGCAACTGTTGGAATGTGTGCCACACATTTTTTCGGGGTGGCTTTGCTTTTGTTGTTCCTGCTGCCTCTGTCGCTGCCTGCGTCGCTGCTGCCCCTCCGCTGCTTTGCTTCGTGTTAGAACGCATTTTGTTACATTATTTTACATGCCGCTGCTGTGCTGCTGCTGCTGCCACTGCTGCCGCTGCTGGATGCTGTGAAAGTTTTAGCCATTTTGCCTCGCTTTTAATGTCTCCCCAATGCATGTGTGGCATCTGAGTGTGTACGTATTTCGTCTGTGTGTGTATGTGTGTGTACTTGCCGCTCTCTCTGCGTGTGTGCGTGTGTGTGTGTGTGGGAGTGTGTGTTAATGTAATATTAATGTTATAATTTGCTAGGCGGAAAGGACAATGTACGTGCCAGGCTTTGAGCCCATCAATAATGCAGCAAATATAAAGGGTGGAGGGGTGGTGGTGGTGGTGGCAGCAAAAAAGTGGATGGGGCAAGAAGTGGCTGGAGGGTGAAGTGGAGGGTGAAGTGGAGTGAAGTGAAGTAAAGTAGGTGCGTGGTGCATGCCAATTTCCAATTAGACACAAAATGTTACAACACCAAGAAGAACATCTGATTGCGGGGGTGGTGGTGGTCCCATTCCCATTCCCATACCCGTTCCCATCTATGCTGGCCTTGCCCAACACTGGTTGTATGGCAGGTCACAGCACGTTCAACATGCCACAAAGTAAAAGTGAAAAGCAACATCAAAATTAATAAGTAGAAAGGATGCTGAGTGGCGCTGCCGCTGCTGCTGCGGCCGCTGCTGGTGCCTCAGCCAGCGTCGCTGCCAGCGTTGGCCGAACAAAGTAGCAAAAAGTGGGAGGGAGAGCGAGAGAGAGAGCAGAGCAGATGAAATGAAATGAGAGAGCATCGCCTGTGCGTCGGCGCTGTTTCAATCACTCAACGAAAGCTTCGTCAAGTTGAGAAACAGCGGACCAGCTGCACAGCCTCCTCCAAACATCCCATCCCTCCCACCTGATCCCCCTCTAGCCATCTACCAATAACTGCTAATCCCGCTTGCATTAGAATATTATCAAATATTTAAACAATTTTCTAGCTAACGGTTACCACTGGGGAGAAAGGTCGTAGTGCAGTATAGGAAGGCGCAGTAGGGAGGGGAGTGGTGGAGCAGGGTGTGTGTGTGGGCTGCACCCACTTGCAGCGGCAGCCCACGCGCCGAAAGCGCAGCCAACGCCAACGTGCCGTTATCTCTCGCGAAAGACGTCATTACAAACTGCAGTTGGCAGCGCCGCGACTGCAGCCCAGCACCAACAGCAGCAGCAGCAGCATCAGCAGACCAAAAGGCGCGTCACGACATGCATTATAACAGCAACAACAAGAACAATAACAAGACGGAACAGGCAACAACAACATCCATAGCATAACGGAACACGGAACAAGAAGAAGAGTCATACCAAAGCAGAACATGTAAAAGTTAAACGGTAAATGTCCTGCTGCTGCTGCTGCCGCTGTTGTTGTTTTTTCTGCAATAATTGGCAATCTCTCTATTCAAGTGTGTGTGTGTGTGTCGTGATTTTTTGTTGTTGCGTAAGGCTTTATAGGGCAACCGGAGGGTGTGGTTGATGCGCAGTTTTCCTGCACAAAATCGTAATTTCGCCTGCTGCTCCCCCGATCGAGTGTTGGCAACCCTAACATCTGTTCGTTGGCCACCTGCAATCTCTGCACCATGATTTTATGAATGAACGCACGAGGCCCAACCAACCAGCAACAACAACAAGCAGAGAAGGGCACATCCCATCCCCAACTCCAAAAGCTTGCTACATGCGCAAACTACATGTTATTTGATAAACAATTACCTGCAAACAACAGCGGCAACACCAGTCACACATTTTTCAACGTACGCAATGCAAAATCATTGAATAATTAACAAATGTTGCTCCACAACAATTTGGTGGAGAACGGGACTTCGCGGCGACTGTTTAAAGAATGTACTAAAAAATACCACCAGAATGTACCAGACGAATCGGTATTTTTAAGTGTTGCAAGGCGCTGCACGTGGCAGTCACTTTACAGCACCGCCACTATCGCAAATATCGCCACTATCGCAACTATCGCAACTACTTGTGGAATTCAGACGCTAAACGCCGCCAAATAAATTTAAATAAACAATCAAATAAATTGCAGTTCCACCACCATGATTGAGATGGAGGCGGAGGAACACATGCTGCGAGGCATCACCAGCGCAGATGTGGGGCCCGAGGCGAAAGGTGAGTGGGTCGAACGGCAGCAATTTCGTTGAGGGATTTTCATGGCTTATCTTTTGGGACATTTTGCCGCGCGCAGAATACAATCTGCTGCGAGCGGACGAGGAGTACCGCAATGGCAACGTTGAGCACTCCATCTACTACCAGGTGAAGGCGCAGTTCCAGTCCACCGACCTGCGATACATTACGGAGGCGGACGATCTGGAGAGTCAGCGGCCCAGCACCGAGCAGCTGCTGCGTGTCGCCAGTGACGTGGAGAAGGAGGACTACAAAAGGTGCGCATCCACAAGGGGAGACACTGCATAGAAGCTACCATTGGCTAACCCATTTGCTAAACAGCAATCGATTCCTGCAGAACATCCTCAAACATCTGCAGCAAAAGGAGCGGGAAAGACCGAAAAGGCCGCCCTGCATAGAACCCATCGAGCATCTGGACTTCCTGGAGGATGTGGACGAACCAGTGGCCGGGCTGGCGCGCATCAACGACATCTGCAACGGCCTGCCCACCGAATGGTGTGTCCTGCAACTCTGCAAGAGCTTCAATCCGGCCACCACTTACTCGGTTTTCAACGAGATCTCTGCCTCCGATGGGGCCATCTACCTGTCGCTGCTGCGCCACTGCCGCAGCCCCGAGCTGGGACCCATTTGCCTGCGCTTCAACAACAGCGGCCTGGCGGAGGTCTTCAAGCACTACAGCACCTTAGTGGAGCGTTTCAGGCGAGTGGTCACCGTGGATCCCCTCAATATAAAGAGCAAAGAGGCCAAGCAGAAGTACTGGGAGGAGCTAAATAGCTACGATGCCTTTCTACGGGTGAGCGGTGGCAGGCAGAGAACGGAACGGAATCGAAACTCATTATTTTTTTCCATTTGCAGAAACTTCTCTCCGACTTTCGGGACATCATGGCGCCCTATTCCTTTGTATTCCTGGGCAAACGCTACGACTGCAGCGCCGTGGCAAGCCAAACCAAGGCTGTCTTCGGCCGCGTGGACGAGTTCTGCGTGGACCGTCAGTGGAGCAATCATCAGCGCATTCTGCTCTCGCAGGCGTCGCTGCATGCCAACCGCCTGACCTCCACGGACATGAAACACATTGCCTACGAGATGACCAGCAATGAGAACGAAATCCACATGGTCTACGACATGCTCAGGGTATTCGCCAGCGAATGGCAGCCGCTGGAAGATCGCCAAGTGCAGGTGGCCAAGAGTTTCCCCACCATTCTGGTGGTCGATGAGGTTTGTCTGCCCCGTCTAATCTGTGTTGCCATTAATTGTTATGTCTTGTCTGTTCCCGCAGCGACTGGATCATCTGCATTGGGAGCAGCTGGCAACGGCCCAGGAGTTTTCCCGCGTCAAATCGCTGCACTGCCTGTGGCGACTGTATCAGTACCACAAGGCGAGCATCCGGCATGGCTACTACACGCGCAGCATCAAGCGCGGCATGTGCGTCATTAATCCCGGAGCGGATCTACCCAACTCTGGCCGGAGGCTGAGAAGCTTCTTCGAGTACTGGCTCTCCCACTGGCGGCATCTGTTCGAGACAGTGCCCACCGAGGAGGTGATGCTGCGGCAAGCCTATCAGGCCGATTGTTTTGTGTGAGTTTTGACCTTGTGTGAGGTACAAACACACCGGCTAATCCCCTATTCGAATCCTCTTGCCATAGTTATGCTGGTCATGGCTCGGGCTTGCAGTACATCAATGGACGTGCCATTTGTCGGGCCCGTGTCCGCGGTGTGGTCTTTCTCTTTGGCTGCGATTCGACAAGGATGCTGGGCACGGGTCTGTATAGCGCCCTATATGGCGCCCATGACTACTACCACGGCGCTCTGTGTCCCACCATTGTGGGCACCCTGATGCCCGCCCTTGATGGCAACATGGACCACGTCTCTGTGACGCTGCTGAGCCTTTGGCTGAATCCCGGAAATAAGCAAGTGCGGCCCTGGACCCAAATCCACAAGATGTCCTGGCTCAAAACGGGCACCATCAAAGGTTTGACACACACACGCACACACACTTCCTTCCTACCTTGACATCTCGCTCATTTGTGGTTTGATTTTGCTTGCAGCTGGCAGCGATGTGGAAGTCGCGCAGCCCGACTATCATCTGGGTAGCTTGAGCTCCATTCTGTCCCTGGTGCAGCAGGGCAAGGTCGAGCCGACCGTCTACAATTGCTGCATTTATGTGTGCAGGGGTCTGCCCGCCTGGAATCTAGACGTCGAGCCGATGCCCTTCTAAAGTATAGTTCAAATTCGTATTCGTATTGCAATCAATTAGGATAAATATCAAACAGAAAACGAAACAACAAAATTATGATGTTAAGGAAAGAATCGTTGCTTAAGCCACTACTGCAGAGGGTGCGCACTAGATTGCATAGAACATTATGTATAAACACACTCAGAGGATTGTAGGAATAAACCAAGTACAAGTACATTTATATTTATATATGTTTAAATGAAATTCTTACCTTTGCTGCGACTGTTTCCTGCCCGAGTTATGTGATGTGATGTGGCTTTAGCACTTGCAGCTGATTTTGCTTTTAAGTTAAGTTTTTTCTGTAGCTTTGTTTAGACTTTGTACATTGTGTTTTTAGTTTGTTTGGGAACTTTAAACCGTTTGCAGATGTAGTTTTTGTATTTTAAGAATTGATTTCCATGCCAGAGAGACAGAGAGGGGGTGAGTCAGGGCTATGCCTGTGCAGGAGTAAAAGGATTATTCAAACAAACAATGTTAAGTGAAAGTGATTTGTGCATAATACAGAGAGAGATAGTTAAACGACGTGGAACATTGAGATTTGATCAAAAAACAAAACAACAAATAATGGAGAATAATATGAGAAAAGATTTTGGCCCACACCCAAGGGAAGAGGCCACCGCTGAAACGCCCAACTATTTATTTACTCAACTGGCACTCGTGTGCTCTCCAAACTCGACTCATCTCTGCTCATCGCATCGCGTTGCGTCGCACCTCGTCCTCGGTTGGCTCGTGTTGCCCTTTTGGCAAAGAGCTTTCTTTCAGGCGAAAGAGTTTCGCCCTCAACCTCCACAGCATCGAATCTACTTGACCTACTAACGCTTGTCGCATTATGACACACATTCGTTAATTAGGCCCAGCCCCAGCCCCAGCCCCCAGTCTCAGCCACAGCCCATCCCCAAATCCCCCCCTAAAATGGGAACATCTACTACACCCTCCTGCATATAATAAATATCACTGCAAATCATTGCTCATCGAATATGCGGCGTATGCGTAATATTTTTGTGTGGCCCCGATTTGCATGCCACAAAACATTCCATTCCATTGCCAGCGAATCACACAGCCCAGCACAGCCCAGACCAGCCGTGCCGTGCCCCTATTTATGGGGCTACTACTACAACATCTATCGATGGTTGGACTTGGAGTAGTGTGGAGTGTGGAATGGAATGGAGCGTCCTTCATGTTAATGTCTCAATGCCGTGCCCATGCAGCGTGTCCCGATTTGTATGTGTGTGTGTCTGTGTGTGTGTGTGTTAAATCAAATTAGCAGCGGGAGCCAAGGTGCATGCCACACCTCCCACTCTAGGATAGAGAGAATGCGAGAACTTGTAACATGACAGGAGACAGCGTCAGAAGGAGGATATTACATAACAGGCGCTCCCCCAATGTAAATCTTGTTGTAAATTCTCTGCGCCTGTGTTTGTGTGTGTGTCTGTATGTGTGTTTGTGTGTGTGTGTGCTTTTGATTGTGTGGCATGCCCCAAATGAATATGCTATGACGTTGACGTTGCTTTTGTTATTGTTTAGATGCGATGCTATTTCCCTTTCTGTTTCCTCTCTCCCTTTCTTCATCTCTTATGCTGCCATTTCCTCCTCTCCGTGTGTGTGTGTGTGTGTGTTTTTTTTCCTGCTTTTCTGTCCTATTGTTATTATGCCTTTCATTGCATTTTAGTGGCTGGTTTGTTTGTTTGTTAGAATTGTTCTTAAAGTAATTACAAAATCATAATCCAAATCGTTTTCTTTTGTTTGATTTTTAACCTTGAACTCTTTGTGTGTTTTTCTTTTTGTGTGTTGAGATTTCCTCTATTTAGTTTTCCATTTTATCATTTTGTTGTTGACATGATTTCCTTTTCGTTTGCCATTTTTTCTAGCATTTTAGCCATTTTTTTGTATGCAAAAAAAAAAATGTTACAAATTGTTTTTCATATATTTTTGTGGTTATTTGTTTATATATTTTTGGTTTTTTGTTTGTTGAAAATTTGTTGCTGAAACGCTTTGTTAACTTTTGTTGAAATTCTTTTAGTTGTCGAAGTTATTGTTTTTTTTTTTTTGTTTTTATTTTTATTTATTTTTGCAGCAGCAGCAGCAGTTTTAGTTGCTGCTCCTGTTTTTTTTTTTTTGTATATTTAAATATATATTTCTTTTTATATATATTATTTTATCCGCCGCGTTGCACACAACAATTCTCGGCCAGAGATCAACTGAGACTGGGCCACAGCAATGCCAGAGACCAGAAAGCAGAGCCCTCGCATAAGCAGTTGCATCCTTTTTCGTGGTGAGGGGGGGTCCTGGCTTCCGCCTCTGCTGCCCTGCTGCTGCCTCCGAAGGACGCGCGCCCCAACAATGTTGCAAAATGATTTCACAGCAGCAGGCAACAACAACAACAACAACCGTTCAAACCTCAACAAAAACAGCCAAAGGGCCCCTTCCCAACCAAAAGAGAGAGAGAAAGAGCGAGCTTCAGGGAGAGAAAAAAAAACTTTCACCTCTCGCGTGCGTGTCCCTGTCCCTGTCCATGTCCTCGCCTAATCTTTTTGTTGTTGCTCCTCTCTCTCTCTCGTCCTATGTTTCACTTTCAGTGAGAGAGAGAGAGGGACTGCGAGGGGTGGTGGAAGCCTACAATGCTTACAATGATTCTGCGTTTTCATGGAGATTTTGTTGCTGCCGGGAAAGCTTCAATGTTGTCGCTCGTCCACGTGACAATGAATCCTGTGAGAGACAGAGCGAGTGCCAGTGAGAGAGAGCTTTCTTATCAGAGCCAGACCCGCAATACGGCAGAGGAATGGCAGAGCAAAGCAGCGAAGTAGACTAGGGAAATACCCTCGCTGTAAGCACTAAAATTCGTTTAATTGAAAACCTTATAGAACTAACAGCTTAAAGGATAATTAGAGGTAGATACAGTTACGTTTAGGATTAGGTTTTAGGTTTTAGGTTGTAGGTTTTAGGTTGTTGGTTTTAGGATTAGGGGCAAGGATTCCCAAGCCCGTTTCCATGATAATATCTAAATTCGCATACGAAAACAAAATTACTGCACTTAAACGTGTAGATCCCTTTCTCTCTTTATCTCTTTCTTTCCTTGGTGTGTTGTACGTTGGTTTTTTCTTTGATTTTATGCGTTTTTTTCATTTGCTCCTTTCCGTTTCGCTCGCTCATTTGTTGTTTGTTTGTACTCTTCAAAAGAAGTTTGTAACTTCCTGTAACTTGCCCACCCAGCCACCACCCAACCAGAGCCTCCAGCTCTGTCTCACCCTTGGGGGGCTGCTTCCTCCAGGCTTTTGCTGCTGGTTTGTGTCTGCGACAAGAGAGATGTGGATGTGGATGTGGATGCGGCTGTGGCTGTGGCTGTGTCGTGAGCTTCGAGCGGGGCAGGACTCACTTTTGGTGCTGGACTCACCACACTCCGATGGGGGCAATCGGCATGCAGATGGTCCTCGCCGCGACACCGATGGCAGCGCTTCGGCTGCGGCCCCAGAGCGCACTCGGAGGCAATATGATTGGCGAATTCGCCGCAATTATAGCAGCGCATGCGGCGAGTCCGACGATTGCTGGGGGGAACAAAATGTGGTATGATTATGGTAGGCATTTATGGCTAATAAACAAGAGAGTCCTGCCGTCCTGGCGTCCTGCCCTTACATGCGTGGTCTATAGGTGCTGCCGTGGCACTCGTCCCCCGAACGACCCGACACCCTGGTGGCCTCCAATCCGCGGGCCGTGCGATGGCACTCGAACTCCACCTCCTCCTGCTCGCCCAGCGAACGAAATCCCGACATCTTTATGACACTCTGCAAACAGGAGAACAAAAAAAAAGGGCGAGTTAGACATGGCTTTGTGTGGGTATTTTTGTTTGTTTGATTGACTGATTCACCCACCTGATGCACAAAGACCTCCTGGCCGCCATCGTTGGGCGTGAGGAAGCCCCAGCCCTTGGCCACATTGAACCACTTGCATTTGCCCAAACGCACACAGCCGCATTCCTCGCCAGGATTCGCTAAAAATATAAATATAGAGTATGGAACCGAGCGGAACGTTGAAAAAATGTAACTTGAGTTTCCTCTGCCTCGCACACACAGTCGATATCCTGTCTGGGAATCCTTTGGCCAAGGGGTTTTGTTATTCAAATGAGCCACCGAGCCAAAGGCAGCTGAATGTTCCGTGTATGTGTGTGTGTGTCCTTGCCCCATTTGCCGCGAGGCAAGTTCAGCTTAGAGCCGTCTCTCTGCCTCTCACACACAAAAACAGGTTTCGTTTGAATTATTTGGAAGCGTCAGTTTCATTTCATTATCTAAGACATGCCCCCCCCCCCTCGCCCCACACACTCACTCTCTCATTCATTTGCGTTCATTCATTCATTCATAAATGGTATTTACTTTGCTCTGTTCCCATTTCGTGTGTTGTGTTGCTTATCTGCTGGATAGGCATAGGGGGGGAGGGAAGGGGAGCCCACTATAGATACAGATACGCATTCTACTGCACATTCTCATGGCTGCTCCCTCGCTCTCTCCCTCTCTCTCTCTCACTCACTCTGTGTGTCTGCATTTCTGGGGTTGTTGTTGGCTTTTCTTGACAGATTTTCCACTCGCATTTTGAATGGAATTCTTTGGTTAATGGAAATTCTTTAGCCTCTGATAAGAAATCGTAGAGAGAGAGAGAGAGAGGGATCTTTGGAAACCACCACCATCACCGCCACGATGGTGATTATCCTTCGGTTTGTTCCCATTTTTATGGATTCCTCTTTTTTCCATTCCTCATTTCTTATAGGCAAAGATCCCACAAACTGGTTTTTAGGCGAATAAATCTCAAGAAATCTATGCTCATGCTGAGAGGGGCACACATCTATCTTCAGAATAGATCTGATCTAATTGATCCTTCCAGTTCAGTCAAGCGTATGGGCTAGGCCAGCAGCAAGGGTGGGGTATTCGTCCTTGATTGCAGTGGGCTGCGCAGGGGTGTCGCTGCGGCAGAAGTCGGTCAGCGTTCGATCTCTGCCCAGGAGGGGTTGAATGACACATATCCTCCCCTACCCCTCCCCCACCCATCCCCCTGCCGTACATAGAATTTCCGCATTTGCCAATAAAAAAAATCGAAATCCGCGAATGGCAAAAACACAACAAAAACGTAAAAACACGAATCGACGAATAAAGAAACTGCGCAGTACATAAAAAAAAACAAAAAACAACGTGGAGTGGTGGGGAGGGGTGGGGAGGGGAGAGAGACTACTACAGACAGAGTGGGAGAGAGGGAGAGCGTGCGATCGTAGCCAATCAGCGAGGCGTTTGATAAGATTTCGTATTGAATTTTGGCTTTGGTTTTATTTTGGAAACACATAGAAAAATCTAAAAACAACGAAACCAGACACACACACACACACACACACACACACACACACACACTAGCATAAAACTAGTTTGTTAGGGGTGGGGGTGGGGTGTGCGGTGTGCGGTGTGGGCATGGGTATTCTCTAAAAATCGGGGGCACAGACCTGGCGGCTGCTGGGATGATGTTGTGGAGCTGTTGCTGCTGCTGCTGCTGCTGCTGCTGCTGGTGTCTCCTCCTGCATCGGTTCTCTGCTGCTCTGGCACTTGTATGTTTTCCATTTTCAGTTTCCTTATTAATTCCTTGCGGTTTCACTTGGGTCCTTACTTTACTTTTGTCGTTTTCCCCTTGTTAATTAGACTCTTGAAATTTTCACTTTAAATGCATGTTTCGCCCTGCATGTGTGTAGATACAGTTGTACGAGCTAACTGTAGCTGTAGCTGTAGCTGTAGATGTATCTGTATCTTTTACCGAGCGCGCACGCACACACACACACACTTGCACGAGTTACACGAGTTTTCTATGTCGTTAATGCTGTGTAAATATTTTCCAAGGGGGGGCACAAACGCTGCCGCTGCGCACGACGCACTTCGTCACACTGACTCCGCGTTGCCTTTCGACTATTTCTAGGAAGGTCGCGTCGACGTTGACGTTAACGTCGCTGTCGCTGTCGCTGTCTCTGCCGCTGCCGCCGCAGACCCGAAAAATGTTTAGGCTGTATCTTCAAAATACGCGTATTCATATGTGTGTCTGTGTGTGTGACTGTGAGCGAGGAAAAACATCGAGTCGAGTCGAGAGTTGCCTCGGGTTGAGCGTACGAGCAAACGTAAGCAAATGTATCTGACAGATACTTTTACTCTACACAGACCGATCCCACAGAGGGGAAGCGGGGCAAGCCAGAGAACGAGATAGAGAGACGGAGAGAGAGGGACTGCGAGTGCGCGTATAAGAGATAATGCGTGTGAGAGAGCGTGTAAAATGTATCTATGCGGCGCCCCCTGATAGATGTATTTGTATCTATGACTCAAACACGCGTATAAGTGCGTAGATCAAGCGCTGACTTCAGGATCATTTCGCAGGCATTTGATAGGCTCACACGATGGGTTCCGGGCACCCCACTCCCCTGACGGATATTCATAAAAAACAGCTCCTGATTGGTGAAAAATTGCATTAAAAAACTGCACAACCCTCGTGTTGTAGCTGGCGCGTGCCAGTCAGTCAGTCAGTCAGCCAGCCAGCGAGCCAGCCGTAAGGGATACGGTTGCATTTCCACCACCACCAGGCTCACCCCCAAAAGGGTCCTTGCAATATGCAACATATTTGCGAACTCTGAGCCTGAGCCTGCTCCTGCCCAGCCCTGCTTTTGCTCTCCCTTTTCCGGCAACTGTGTGTTATGCACGCAATTTATTGCGACACGTGCCTCGTGCCTCTGGCATGCTGACTCGAATCGAGGACCAATGCCATTGATGACAGCCGAGACCCGCCGAGAGGGCGGAAACTGTATTGTGAATCCGAAACATACACACAAATCTCGCACGCTTAAGGGAGGTGCCGCCTGCAACACCCCATCCAAACCGTCGCCAGCGCCAAACCCATCCATCCATCGACTTATGTAGATATTTTAACAACAATTTAACTGAAATTTCAGTAAAATTTCGGTTTCTGAATTAAGAATGCGCTTTGGAAATCATTCTGGAATCAAATTTATGACTCCTAAGCAGCAGCCAGGGTCAGTTTTCAACCTTAATGTAAGTTATGATAGTGAAACAATTGTTAGTTATGATTTATAATGATTTAAATTTGTAAAAGAATCCACAAATTTAATTTTTTTTGTTAGCTCATAATTTTTAATGGCAAATCTGTACCGATTTTTTTACAGCTACCGTCATGGAACTGATGGGAACAAAATGTAGATTAAGTCAACTCTAGATTCTTATAATATAAAAATGTAAATCCAGAATTTGTTTGCTAGTTACGCACAACTTTTAAAGTAATTTTATTTCAGCAAATAATAACAGGAATAAGATCAAGAAAAATTATAGCTAAAGCTCAAGCTTCAGCTTCTACTTTGCACTCCTAGAGTTTCATTTATAAGGAAAATATTAACCTTCAGCTATGAGAATTTTCCGCATTCTATATGTGATGCCTTCTCCCGAATAATGAAACATATTGAGACCCAATACATATTCAAACTGGACCAAAAACAATGCGAATGCGAATGCTCAGCGAGGGGTCACTGAGGGTCAGTTCAATTTTTTATCAACGATAAATACATGGAAAAAAGAACCCAAACAAAGAGCCGAACAAGCCGTTGCACAGTCTGTAATCAATATTTTGCCACTGCCACTGCCATATCGTATCCCGTGCCGTGCTGTGGTCCAGTGGCCGGCCAGTGGTCTTCAATGACGGCTCGGACAAAGGCTCGCCAAACGAGAGCGAAAGTGCCCATTAGGGATGGCAGCAGAGCCGAAGCAAAGCCACTCACATGCGCATAATTGGAACAGGATTAACAAGGCCAGGGCCTCAGAATGAATGCATCAGAAGTTGGGGAAGTGCGGCAAGCCAGACAGACGGCCATTCCATTGTCCGAGGAGGGTCCGAGGATCGGGCTCGAGGCATTTCCGGACGGGCAGCGGGCACCGCAGTCAGGCAGGCAGTCGGCAAGCAGCACACAATGGCCATGAAAATAATCCGCTTTAAATAGAAAACGTTGCCAAACAGTAATCAAAAGGTTTTCGGGCAAGTAAAATGTGGAAAATGTGAAAAATTCGTACCCAAATTCTATGCAAAATCAGCATAATGAGAGGGCGGAGGGGAGCCACAGCATGGGAAGTGCAGGGTGGGTGCATATCCATGTTGCAGGTCCGCGCACAGCACGCGTTTGACCTAACCTGGCACCTCATCTCCCCTCCAACCCCTCACATCTCATTCCCCGCGATAATCAGGGCACAGTTTTTTTTTTGTTGCAAATACTTTTCTTTTTTTTATGCATAAACGAACACAATTTGCATTTTCCCGCGGAGGGGGGTGTAGAGGGGGTTTGACATGTAGGCATAACCATTCAAGTGCCCTACTTTCGTCATTGATTGACATGTGATTGATGTTTCTATTTGCAGTGACAGCGACAGCGACAGCGACAGCGTCAAAGAGAGGTCCTTTAGCCAGGATAAGCTCTGTTCGAAAAGAGAGAGAGAGAGAGAGAGATATGGAATCTACGGGTAGATGTGAGTCCCCATTTCAGCTGCATAATGCATAATATTTTGCCAACTTTAATTCATGCTCACAGATTATATCAGGCAAAAGGACAAAGTTTTAGTGGCAACAAATGCGAGTTTATACCCTAAGAGACATTTACAATTCTTTTTGTTGCAAGGCAAGCGAGTAGCTAAGAAGTATGCAACTCTGAGAGTAAAATAAAATATATGTTAAATCTTACTCCTAAATATATTTAGTTGAGGCTACTTATCAAAAAAAAACCTCAAAGATTTTACAAATAAAAATAAATATTTAACAGTCTTTTAATTAAGTGAACTTACCTTTACATTTCTCTCACTAGATTTTTTTTATCTCTCATATAGTTGCATTCTGATCGTGGCTGAAACAAAAACAAAGAAAAGAAAACGTTTGTAGATATTTTGTCTAGAGAAAAAGTTACCCCTAAAAGTATGCCACTCTTTTATTGGGTTGCCCATCCCCAGACATATCTCGTATCTTTTATGATAGAATAAATTCGAATTAATTGTTTTTTTTTTTTAGTATGAAAATTTTTGTTTTTTTGTATTATTATTTATTCATTCTTTTCGTACGTTTTTTGTTTGTTTATTAATTATGATTCTTTAGCGATATTTTATAGAGATATTTTTATATAATTAATAGGAATTTAAGTTGCATTCAAATAATTCAGATAATTCATTCGCTTTTTTTTTGCATTTGCGTTTTCCTTTTAGATGATGCGTAGCATTATAATCGGCGTTTAATTATGCATATAGTCAATTATTTCGTTTATTGTGGTATTAGAGGTGATTGATATACAGAAAGATAGATACATACATATGTGTGTATACATCTGTACATACATATGTATATCTTGAGGCTTTTTTAAATCAACATTTCCCAATCCGAGGGCTTTGTAACAGGAAACTAATCGTTCAATCTTCATCTCGAATATTAAATTAATTTTCAATTTCTTCTAGGGGTTTCTTCTTTAAGTTTTTAGAAATTCCATCTTTTACTTTTTAATTGTTGTATGAGAACCAATTTTGTACATTTTTGTGTGTGGATGTTATCGAGGGGTAAGGGATAAGAGAGAGGAGAATATTTAATATACTCGTAGAACATATGCATAACAAAGGATCTACACGATCTATATAGAGAGAGATGGGGGGGAGGGCGTTGAATTATAGATAATTTTTAATTATATAGATACAATATTGAAATATTGATTTGCAATAAAGGTATACGATAGACTTATTGAATATATAATGGAATATATATTTGGATTTCGATTTCTAGAATTTAATCATTGAATCATTTGTGTGTGTGTGTGTGTGTGTGAGTGTGTATGGGTGTGTGTTAGTGGGTGTGGGTGTATGAGTGTGTATTCGACCTAAATCAGAGTCACTTATAACACTAAGAAGCAGTCATTTATTCTCCATTTAAATTTACGTTGTGTCGTCACGTTTTTTTTGTTTTTCTTGAATCCTGAAACAGATTTCAATTACTGTACAAAGTTTGGGCGCTTAAACCATAGGCCATAGGTTCTCTATATAATATATATACGTCATATTACGTATGTCTACACTACGTTAAGTATATGTATATGTGTGTGCCTCGTATATAAATATATATGTATGTCGTTCGTTATAGTTATATATATTACAATGCTTGAACAAACAAAATGGTTCGGTAAAGTATATTCCTATCGAAATGTCCTGGGGGGTCCTGTCGTTTATATGTGTAAGGAGTATTTCTTGTATATATATGTATATATACGTAGTAATTCATTCAGTCTCACAAATAGGAAAGTATTATGCATCGTCGCTTATTACGTTAAGAACTTGTTTCTGCAAAAATAAAAAATAATAAAAATAATTCTAAAAAATTCTTTCTGTAAAAAATGGTAAAAATTTCAAGCTGAATATTGCACAAAATATGAATATTAAATTATTGCACAACCAACAACAAGAATGTTAGAATACAAAATAAAACCAAAGTAGAAATAAAAAATCAATTTTGTGTTTTTTTTTTTTTTTTTTTTTTTGTTTGTATAATTTTGATTATCTTCTTTTATATTTTCCATGTATGTAGGCTCTTCTCATATTTTCCGTGTTCTTTTCAGTTTTCATTAGAAATATATGTATATGCGTATATGGTATATGCTTAGAAATCTTATTGATACGACTTATTGGCTAAATCTTAATCTAAATCCTCTCGCACTCTCTCTGTCTCTCTCACTGCCAAAACGCTCTTCTGCCTTCTGCATTAAATACAAAAATACAAAAAACTGTTGCATAGTCTTTGTCTCAAATTCGCGAATGAATCCGCAAACATCTCCCCATAGCCCCCCCCCCGAATAAATGTAGCCCCAAAACGTACCACGTACGTACATAGTACTACTTTACACTAGAAACTAGAAATACTTATGTGCTACGAATTGGTGTCTTTCCTTACAGATCGTAGCTTGGGTTCAGCTCGTTTATGTACAGTTTCTTAGCCACTATGTTATGATATAGTAAGTCTAGTATACATATGTACTTAATGCTAGTCAGCCTCATTAATATTATAAGCTTAGATTAGATTAGCTAAAGATTTCATTCAGACATACAAAAAACGAAGACTAATTGAGAGTGTAATACGAGCAAAATTTTTGGAATTTGTTTTTCACTTTCCATTTAAGGGGAGATTTTGGAAGAAAGTGGAGAATGTTTACTGGCGCAAATTACGAGGGTGGGGGAAAGGGAAATATCTCTAGATTTTTGTTGTATACTAATAATGTCTATAATGTATATATATATATATATATATATATATATATATGTTGGTATATATGTATGTGTTTAATGTGGTCTACAATATAATTCATGTGTGTGTGTGTGTGTGTTTCAAAATACAAATACAATACAGTAAATGTAAATGTAAGTGTGGACAAATGGAAACAGTCAAAAGCACCGATTTTTCAGCTAAGTTTTCATATTTTTTTTCTTTTGTTTTGTTTTTTTTTTTTGTGTTTAGTTTTGTTGTTTCTTTCTATAATCATAATAATGATAATGATAATGGATAAATGGTTAAATCCCCTAGCGGTCTATGTAATAATAGGCTCTACTTATTTAACAGATCTCCGAAATAAGGTATCATTACCTTCTATATGTATATGTACAGTTTTTGTTGCTGTTTGTTGTATATTTAATAAAATACATATAAATATATATATTTAAATATATATTTAATAATGATATATTCATATATAAAATACGTATATGTATATATATTTATTTTTAAGCTTTTTTCAGATCTGTTCTGAATGGTTGTTCTTTTCTTTTTCAGTGCTAACGAAATTCAAATAAGGCAACTTGAATCTATGTATGTGTGTATGTATTTTATGTGTATGCATGTATGTACGGTTATGCTGCTACATATCTCTAACTGGTATATGTACGTTTAATGATCTATATAGTATATATAGAATATATATATCCTATATAGTGTTTAAGGTGCGCGCCTCAACAAAACAATCAAAACAGAGAGAGAGAGAGAATGATAAAACAATGGGAAATCAAATCAAAAATTTATAAAAAAAATTCTGTAAATGCATTTCTCATTCAAAGTATTTTCTCTTCTCTTCTTCTTCTACTTCTACTTCTTCTTTTTGTTTTTGTTTCTGTTTCTGTTTTGGGACCCGATCTTTCTTTAGCTCCATTTCAATTTATTCTCTCGATTAACAATCCAATTGTATGTATGTATATATGTATGTATATATGTATTGTGTGTTTGTGTGTGTTTTTTATGTATATAAAATATTTATCAAAAATAATATGCCTTTAGCTCTCTGAGAGGAGAAGAATTCATGGGGATGTTTTTTTTTCTTTTTTGTTTGCCAATTGGTGAGATCTGATTCTTCATAGCGCGAAATGAGTTTTCAATTTCCAATTTCAATAGGGCGGGAGGGGGGTGTCGGGCAGGGGAATCATCTATCTATATACAACTTATATAATAATACCATTACGTTTACATTGTGCTGCTCTGTCGCTTAATGTGGGTATGGGGATGCTCTTAACTCTATTTGATTTTATTGCACTTGGATTCCATCACTTCTCCTCTCCACTCTCCACCCCCTGTGGGTGAGACTCCTTCCCCTTCCCATCTTACGTGCACTCAATGATCATGGGCTGATTGGAGGACTCTATGACCGAGGGGCGGTTCTCCTGGGCCTGCACATGGGGCGCATGCATGTAGGCTCCTCCTCCGTTGTCGGGCAGCGGCTTCAATACTTTCAGGCTGCCGCCCTGCGGCGAGTGTTGCTGCTGCTGCTGCTGCTGCTGATGCGGATGTGGATGCGAGTGCGGATGCGGATGCTGATGCAGGTGTGGGGGCGTGGGACGTTGGTTGGGGGATCCCTGCTGCTGCTGCTGCAGATGATGGGGCGGCGGTGGTGGCAGCTGGCTGGCTGTGGTCAACAGCATTGGGGCTGGACCCAGCATCATGTGCGGCGGCGGTGGTGGCTGCTGCTGCTGATGCTGTCCGGCTGCCTGCATGTGACTGCCCAACGGAATAAGACGCGGCGGCGAGTGCCTCAGACTGGGATGCACCATATGCTGCTGCAGCTGCTCGTAGGCCTCACGGCTATCCGGCTCGGGATGATCCTTGTCTGCACAGAGAGAGAGAGAGAGCAAAAACTGATATTAGAGAGGACACTCAAGCAGGACTCTCCACGGCAGAACTCACCTAAGCACTCGGATGTGGCCGCCGCTGCCATGGCCAGCTCCTCCTCCAGATTGTTGGGCTTGCAGCTGGTCGTCTTCCAGTGGGTGCGCAGCCCCGAGGCACTGATGTACTTCTTGTCACAGCCCTGGCACACGTACGGCCGATCGTTGGTGTGCAGCCGCTTGTGCAGCTTCAAATGCACAAATTGCGTGAACTTCTGCGGACAGAGATCGCAGGCGTAGGGCTTCTGGCCGCTGTGCAGCCGCAGATGTGTCTTCAGGTTGGACGTGCTCGAGAAGCGCTTCTTGCAGATGTCGCACTGGTGCGGCTTCTCGCCCGTGTGCACCAGATGATGCTTCTGCAGGTGCGCCAGCTGGGTGAAGCTCTTCGTGCAGACGTTGCACTTGAACGGCCGCTCGCCCGAGTGGGTGCGCAGATGCACCTTCAGGTTGCTCAGCTGGCCGAAGGTCTTGCAGCACACGTTGCACTCGTAGTGCATCTTGCCGTCCTTCTTCTTCAGCGGATACGGCAGCGAGCGGTAGCCGCGCGAGGCCAGCGAATTGGGACTCAGGGGGGAGCCGCTGCGCGGACACGAGTTGCCGTCCGGACTGAGGCTGCTGGGCGGGGAGATGCGCAGCGGCGAGAGACGCTGCAGCGGTGTCAGTGGCTGCATCAGCGGGTGGTTCAGCATCTGGGTGCTGCTCTGCAGCAGATGCAGATTCGAGGCGGATCCGCCGCCGCTCGACGCGTTCGACTGCCGGTCGAACGGCGAGTGGGAGCTGTGTGGCGGCGAGTGGAAGGTGGAGGTGGCCGCACTCCCGTAATGGTGCGGATACCCCGGATAGCTGGGACTCGGCGAGTGGCCGCCGTGACCGCCGCCCGCCTCGCCCTGACCCATGTACGAGACGTGTCGCGAGGGCGAGAAGATCACGTTGTGGTGATGGTGCGACGGCGGCGGCGGCGAGCACTCCCCCTTGATGAGGGTGCCCCTCGTGACGAGCTCCTGCTCCGCCACGCCCACGCCCATGCCCGCGCCCACTCCGGCGGCCGACAGCTGCTCCTGCGGCTGTCCCAGATTCGAGCTGGAGTCCGGACTCACCGCGTTGCCGTATCGCTGCGACTTCTTGTAGCTGTAGGCCATCTCAGTGGGCGACGTGGGTGGCGGGGTGGCAGCGTTCGCCTGCCGGCAGGCATTGGCCGCTGCGGCAGCCGCCTCCAGGCGGTGCTGGCTGGTCAGGATCGTCTCCAGAATGCTGGAGGAGGGCTGTCCGAAGCGCACATACCGCTCGCCTGGTGGATCTGCCTCGTAGTAGGGCTTGCTCAGGGGCACAATGGTGCGGGTCTGGCCGTCCGAGTTGTGCTCCAGGACAATCACCGTTGAGGAGGCGGGCTGCTGGTTGGTTGCTGATTGTTCTCTGTCGTTCCGCTCCCGCTCCCGATCCCGTTCCCTCTCGCGCTCCCTTTCCCTCTCCCTCTCCCTCTCCAAGTGCATCAAATGCTCATCCCCCAGATGGGTGGTGGTGCTGGGCGGGCAGGCCGAGTCCTCCGAGTGTGCCACATTCGCGTGCAGGTGCAGATGGGCGTGGTGGTGCAGCTCCTCCTCCTCGTCGACGCCATGGGGCAGCGTATGCGACATCTGCTCGTCCACGTCCTTGTGGATGGGCTCCTGCTTGACGCAGCTCTTGTTCTTGAACTCGTACTTCAGCGGCATCTTCACCTTGAACTTCCTGTACTCGTTCTTGTCCGACTCGCAGGACATGGGCGTGGCAGCCATGGCAGCCATCGCACCCATCGCACCCATCGACTGGGGACTGTGGATGATGCTGCTGGCAGCGACGCCCACTGTGGGCGGTGAGCTGCTGCTCTGCGGCTTCTGGGCCTGGGCAATCACCGTCTCCTTGGGGGCAATGGCCTTCTTGGAGCAGTCGAGGACGTAGTTGTGCTCGCTCTCGCTGTCGCTGGAGTCCTCGGGCGGCGTGAGGCCATCCTCGTGGCACTCGTTGCTGTGGTAGCCCTCATCCGAGCGCACCGAACGCACGCTGCCATCCTGGGGCGTCAGCTGGTGGTCCAGCCCGGACAGCGGCGAGCCGGCGGTGTCCTTGTCGCTGCTGCTGGCCAGCGGTGAGCGATCCTGGCCAATGATCACGGACGCATGCCGTCCGTGCTGGATGATGTGCGGATGATGGGCGCCGCCACAGGAGGTGGTGGACACGTGGGCGGGTGGACTGGCGCGACGACAGCAGGAACCGGAACCGGCACCGGCACCGGCACCAGAACCAGTTGGCGGTGGGGCAGGCGGCAGGGCTTCCTGCGTGCTGCCGGCTCCCTGGGTCGGTGCTCCGCCTGGCGTCGCCGGCAGATGGAGGCCCATCACATAGGTGATGTGGCTGACGGCCACCTCGGCGGGTATTTCGGGTGCGGGCATGGAGTAGTGCGGTTTCTTGTGCGGCGGCATTCCATCGTGATCCTGATCCTGATTCTGGTCCTCGAGCTCCTCCTCCGCCTCCTCGGCCTCCTCCTCGAGATCCTCCTCGCCGCTGGCCTGCTTGCAGGCACCGAAAATGGTCCGCTCCGGATCCACATCGTAGCCGAGGCGGCTGGCGAAATCCTTGCAGTACCAGACCATCAGCTCCTCATTGGGCAGGATGTCGCGGGTTGTGTAGAAGTAGATGTTCTCCAGATGCTGGCACGCGACCAGATTCATCACCGACAAGCTGTACGCAGAGGCCACATAGCGCATCCAGTTGGACTGCGAACGATCCGAGCCATCCAGATAGTAATAGTCGTCGTCCTTGAAGATCTGCACAAGCATAAAGATTAGGGGTGGGGTGGAATTAGCAATGAAGGCTTCATGACACGCACAACACACAGAGAATAAACTACAAAAGGAGACACACAAAAAGAGGAATGCACAGATAGAGAGAGAGAGAGAGAGAGACACAGAGAGAGGCAAAGAGAGAGTGCAGGCAGAGGATAGAGTAAAGCGTAAATCGTTCTTCGTTCTTCGTTCGTGTTAGATAGAAAGAGAAAGTGCTCGTTGGATGGGGGCATGGGGGGTTGGTTGTTAAGAGGGGGCAAGAAAGAAAAAAGAAAAGCATAAATCATGATCATGGTGGTACCTTAATAATCCCATAGGATATGTGGCGTGTTCCCTGCACCTGATTTTGTTTTTTTATCGAAACACAAATCAAATTTTTGTCCAAAAAAAATTGCCAAAAAAATTAATTTTGATTTAATTTTTTAGTTGTTTGGTTTTTTTTGTGTGTGTTTGTTGGTGGGGGGGTATGGTTGGTAATTTTTGCATATATGAAATAAAAGTAAATTAAAGAGAAACAAAATGTTGTGGTTAGTCGCATATTTAATTCGGTGGATTTTCTTTTGGTTGATTGGTGATTGGTGGTTGAGGGGTGTGTGGGTGTGTGGGTGGCGGGGCAAAGCATATGTATGTATGTATGTTAGCGGGATGAAACCCATCGCAGAAAATGCAACTCAAAAACCAAAGATCCAATATGAGCCCGAAAAAGATTTTGCTGAATGCTTACCCTCCAAAAATATCGCGCCTTATTCTTATCATTGGGATAGTTGGAGGTTGGAATGCCTTCGAAGGGGCCAAAGCGTGTGCCGCGCGGTATGACCCCACTGCTCCAAACTCCTTCAGTCTGTCAACGAAACGAAACGAAACGAAACAGATGCCAAAGGCAAGTTAGTTTTCAAGCTGCTCCAGGACTCACTGAATGCCGCATTCTTACCTTAACATTTGGCGTTGAGTAGACCATCGATGACTTGAGTGTCAGACTGCGCGGCAGCGTCTTGTCCGCCCGATTGGATAGTCCTCGCTCTGCCTGCACATCCGGCACTAGGTAGACGGCCAGACGCTCAAAGTCCTCCTCCCGCATACGCGTCACATCGTAGTCCTGGTTGCCATCGGGCGTTGGACTGCGACTACGACTGCGACTGCGACTGCGCGCAGTTCTTCTCGTCGACAGCTTGTGATGCGGATGCGGATGTGGATGTGGATGTGTTTGGACATGAGGATGATGATGATGATGATGATGTGACGCTGCCTTCATATTGTTGGCAGTTCCAGCTGCTGTCTGTTGGTGCTGCTGCTGCTGCTGTCCCTGCTGCTGCTGTTGCTGCTGCTGTTGCTGCTGCTGCTGCTGATGATTGTGATGATGTCCATGCATTTTGACTACAGCTAAAATTGTTGCTCTCCTTTTTGCAAGGATTAATAGTAGATGGTCTAGTGGTTCCGTGTGTGTGTGTGTGTGGTGTGGTGTGGCTGCTTATCCTGATAGTTTTACTTGATCTGCAAAGGAGAGAAAATCAAAGGAAAAGCCAGTTAGTTGGACTCGCAGTGGAATGATATTTGATTTCCCGCTATAAATAGTTTGTGCTACCTTTCGAGAGAGGCACCGACACCGGCATCCATAGCCCTACCCTCCCCTCCCCCGCCACTAAAAGCTCTTTACACTCCAAAAATTCTCTCACTCATTTTTGCAGTGTTGCATTCGGGTCGTGTTATCGGTAGAAACGGAAAAGCTAAAGCGCGTTCAGCGAGTGGCGAATGGCAGGGAAATGGGGGTATGGGCATGTGAAAGAGGGGGTTGCGAATGGGTTGGGAACTGTTTGCACAGTTCAAGATTACGGCCTTAATGGAGGTTACACGTTCACGTTCAGGGGCAATTCTTACGCCCCGCCACCCCTGCTACCTGACGCTGCCCTTCTCTCGGGCTGAGCAAATTCTTTAGCAAGTTCTATGAAAATGCAAAATGAATATGGAAAATTCCTTGGAACGACACTCACTTAATGTGATTTTCCTCATTTGGCTGCCATTGTTGTTGTCGCTTTTGCTTTGTACTCTCGTTTTTTTTTTTTGTTGCTATTTAAATATTTTTTGAATTATTTTTCAGCCATTTTGTTTGTTTGATTTGTTTTTTTTTTTTTATGATTATTTTTCTGCTAATTGAAAAGTGTTTTGTTTTGTATTTTTTTTATTACTGCATTCTCGCATTTCGGTTTTAATTTTGTTTTTTTTGCGTTGGACCCGCAAATTACGCGTCACTTTCGGTTTTCTCTCTCCCGTTACGCATACGCCGTGTGGACGCCACCGCTGTCGCTGCCGCTGCCGCAGCTACTGCTACTGTTTCCCTTTCCCAAAACGGTGGCCCGCTCCTTAAGGGGGGAGGGGGGCGGGTATAATCTATGGCTATTGTCCTGCGTTTTCCAAAGCATTTCTCATTTGCCACGCGACATTCAATTCCTTTTTTGCCAACAAAATAAATGCAAACGTTCACGGAAAATGCAGCAGCAATACGGAAATTAATGCCAAACGAACAACAACAACCAGAACAACGCAAAAATACAAACAAAAATTGCAGGCAAATGTATAGTTTGGATTTTTTTCTTCTTCTATTTTTCCTGCCTATTTTTTTAGTTTTTTTTTTTATTATTTTTGTTAAGAAGAGAACTATGGGAAACGTTGACGCCGCCAACCGAGAGTTGTTCCTACTACTGACCCACATACAACCGGCATAGACCCCAAAAAAGCTCCTATTAGCGGGCAGGCACAAACTGCACACACACACTCGTGCAGCTGAACGGCACTCACACTGCGACAAGAACCACGCCGGCATATTGCACTCACTCGAACTGCAATGCACAGCGAGCGAACGCATCTCAAAGATTCTCTCGCTCGGAAAGTTTTTTTTTGTTGTTTTTTGTGCGCCGAGGAAAAGCTTTTTCGCTCTGCTCTGCTTTGCTTTGCTTTGCTCTGCTCCTCCCTTAGCTGTTGGCTGTGCCACCGCTGCTGTTGCTGTTGCTGCTGTTGCTGCTGCTGCTGCTGCTACGAGTAGTGGTTGCTCGTCGTCGGGTAGTTCGACATTCGGTGGTTGGGTGGTTGCTGCCTCGTCGATAATTCAAAAATGTTATGTCTCTTTTATTTCTTTCTATAAAATTTCAGCTGCGCAATCAGGAACTTATTGTGCAAGGCTATTGCCCTGTCCCTGCCCCTGACACTTCACCAAGAGCTATTTCTGGCCGAAAAAAAATATTGCAAGATATTAAGACTGTTGCAGGGCGCTAAGCTGAAGATGGGCTACGAGTATGGTAGGATTGGACCAGAGCAGCATTTGATAAGCGACAGAAAAATCCAGAAAATAGAATCTCACAAATTATATAATGTAAAAAAAATAGAGAGGGAGAGATCTTTGGTAAGACAACTAAAATAGTAGAGATGGACTTTCGTGGAATGATCTCCGCCTGCGTTTAGAGACCAGGAAATTCAACATCTTACATTAATAAAACCTTGAAATGTCCCACGACTGAATCATAGAATCAACAACTATATATGCAAAGAAATAAACTATAGAAGGGAAGGGCTTTTTGCTCCCCTATTGGTCCTTGAGTGCACTAAGGCCACGTCTATTTACCAGGAAATTCCAGCGAATCTAATCAGAGAACTCTGTTATCGCTCTTGCTGCCATTAAGTAGGGGTGTAAGTAATCACATAACCAGGAAGTGCCATTTGATGGTCACTTAAACATACGAGTATATGTGTGTGTGTGTGTGTGTGTGTGTGGGGGCAGAGTGCTTGTAATTGTTGTAAAACTCACCCAGAAATATTCCCGTAAATATATATGTGGATTGCCGTATATATATGTTTCGACTACCCCCGTTAAGATCATGCGAGTAATCGAGGAGCCCAGTATCTGTGTCCCGTCCGCTCGTAGAACTGTACGCACGTAGAATGCGCTGCAACATAGCCGAGCCCCAGGCGATTGGCCAAACGCTGCTCAGCGTTGGGCGACACGGATGCAAAACAGAATTTTTGCCACAGAACTACGGGAGGAATCTCATGGGGTGGTGCAGCTGTATCTGTGTGCATCTCTGTGTCTGTGTCTGTGCTGCTGTGTCTTGTTTATAGACTTGCACTTGCACTTGCGAATGGCTGGCGAGTGCGGAAATGTGCGAAAACGATATTCGGAAAGTGTTTTTCTTTCTGTGGCACCTTTTGTGTGTGGGTTGGGGTTTTGTTCGCTGCCAGTTGCCAGTTGGCGCCGTCAAATCGAATGAAATATGCAGACAAGATGAGGAAGAAGACTCTTCGAGCGATGGTCTCGAGATACTTTCGATTTTAGACCAGAGATCTTGCTGGCAAAGGGTTTTTGCACTGGGCGGGGTGCAGCTGCAGATACAGATGCGTTTTAGCCCCCACTAGGAAGTCGACAAAAATCAACAAAAAATTCTCACTAGAATCAACAATTGCATGGTGTCTCGGGTGTGTGTGTGTGTGTGTGTGTGGGTAGATAGCGCGCCAAAAAGCTTTTCGCTATCGCTGTGAAAATGAAAATAAACAGCTGCACATACACACACACACACAGATAAACACAGACACACTGATGCATACGTGTATGGCGCTGCATTAGAAACAAAAAGTAAAAATTGCAATGCGCTTTGCGTTTCTAATCATCGCACAATTGCATTTGAAGGACACACACGCGGGCCAGAGATACGTTACGTTACAAGATAGAGTGAGACAGCCAGCGACAGGGTGTAACGAGGCGAGTGAGAGGGCACTAGTCTCGCGTCAAATTAAAAATAAATAACATAAAAATGTAAGCGAGACAGAGACACAGAGAGAGGGAGAGGGAGAGGGAGAGAGAGCATTTGTCAACATTCAACTTGAACGCCGACGACCCATGCACCGCCCTAGCGCCTCCTCTGTCCCGCTCCGCGCCGTGATAAGCGATTCTCCACATTGCGCATACGCCCTGAATGACCGTCCGCTCGTCGACGTGTGCGCTCCTCTTCCCTCTCTCTGCCACTGTCACTGCCACTGCTTCTGCCCCTGCCTGATGCTCTACTGCTAATAATTCTAGCAGTGGAAAAAACTTCCGCCCTGCCGTTTCTATGCTCTGTCTAATGCATCGCAAAGGCACGATCTTTATCAAATTGCAATGAGGAAAGCGAACAGAACCGAGCCCCAAATGAGCTCCGATTGGAATCGCATTCAAGGACAAACTGAACACTGCACTAACCGCACTAAATACCATACATACTCGCACATATGTAACTGATAACTGCCGTCATAAATTAAATGTGCGAGCTCATGTGGCCCTCTCTTTCTGACCAACTAGGAAATACTTAAATGGACGGCTGCTAAGTAGTTTCAATGAATAAACAAATTTAACGATGTTTTTTCTTCAAGTGTAATGTAAATATTTATTATGGATTATGGGTGGGCTGCTCACAAATAGTGTTTATAAGGTGTGTGCGGGCGTCTCTATTAATAAGTAGAGTTTCCAGGTGATGTTTTACTTGTAATTAGTTTTGTTCTTATCTATGATGATCGCTTCAGTTTATCAAGAGAGGAAACATTCTTGGTTTATATTACATTTTTTTGTTGGCTTATAGTCGTACAGTCGTAGGTGCACAGTTTCGCTGGCTATCAAAATTGGATAGTTTTCCAGGCATGTTCCAAGGCATATACTCATAAATATAATTCAGGCGGAACCAGAAGATTTCTGAAAGATTCGCAATGCCTTGCTACGAGTATTTTTATTGTGAAACAAAACAAGCAACATTTCGCTACACTTTCAAAGATCTGTCATATCTACATACATATGTACATGTATGTAACTCTCATTCCCAGATTCGTTATACTTACGATAATACATTCGTGATATGTACAAGTGAATCTCTATTAGAAGATGACTTTTCAGGTACATTCATTCATTCATTCACTCACTCAATCAATCACTCTCGGTTATAGAGTGAGAGCGAGAGCAAGAGAGAGAGAAAAGAACCCGGAAATGTAAAGTGTAAACGTAGAACAAGTCAAATACGTGGGGGAGGGAGGAGCAGCAGCGCACAAGTAGGTGGAGGGAGGAGCAGCGCACAAGTAGGGGGAGAGAGGAGCAGCGCACAAGGAGGAGGAGGAGGAGGAGGTAGGTGCAAAAGGGGGCTGAGGGAAAGGGGGAAGAATTCGCATTTAGTTTTATGTGCATGCAAAAGCGAAAAACGAAAAACGAAAATTGCCAACGCAGTGGGTGAGCGGGTGAGTGCGGGCAGGGCGACGACGGGAGGGGGGCAGCTGATAAAATAAAATTGTGTGCTATTTGTTTGTGTGTGCCTCTGTCCCTCTCCTGCCCGCTCGCACGCTTGCAGTTCTTCTGCTTCTCCCTTTCCCCTCCGCCCCCGTCTCACTGTCGCTGCCTGCTGTAATAATAATTTGTGCGAGCTTTTTTTTTTTTTTGTTTGCTCAAAGGGAACGAAACGGGAACAGAACGAGGGAGAGGGCGAGAGCGAAGAGCGGCAGTCGGCAGTCAGAGCAGAGCATCATCGTCATGATGATCATCATCATAACCTTGAGTCACAAGACGAGAATGTGCATGCGAATTGAATGCAAAAACCCAACAAAAACACTCACTGTGTTACACCGCACTCATCCGCATAGCAAATGTAACGTAGCAGAGGGGAATGAAAGTGGGGAAGAGGCAATAGCACTGGGCACTGGGCACTGGTACAGCTACAGCTACAGCTACAGTGGGTCTATCCAACTGATTATCTAATCACACCAAATGTGCATTGAAATTAATATCCACATTTCAAGGACAATGGACAAAAGGTATGCCACGGGACAGGGCAGGGCAGGGCGGGACAGACATGTTTTTATGCTCAAAATCAAAACCGAGACAAATGTATCTGTAACCATTACAAACAAACACCACCCACCCACCCACCACCATCCCCACACACCACCCACACTGCCAGACGTCAACCCTTCGTCTGTAAAAGCTGTAAAAGTATTGTGTTGCGGTTTCGTTGCACTTTAACCTTGAAAATCTTTGTTACTTCAATTTGCGCATGTGCATGCCGAATGCACTCTCCCATACAGAGCACTGGAGAGCGAGAGAGAGAGAGAGAGAGAGTGATAGAGAGAGAATGCAGGGGAGAGTTTGGGAGTGGAAGTATAGACTGTAGGTAGGAGTCTAGTATGTCTAGTGTCTAGGGTATGGGACAGTCTACCAATCGCTCCCTCAATTATCCCATTTCATTGTATGCCTTTCCATGGTATCGATGCCTCACTGTGCACGGTACTGTACTGTACAGTCAATAAACACAAAATTCAACTCAATTAAAAAGCGAACAAAAAAAAAAACAAAAATAAAAGCGAAAGTATATTAAACTTCTGACAACAATAAAACCGCAATCAAAAATAATTCAAATAATATGTTTAAATATGCATTTATTTTTGTTGTTGTTTCAACTGAAAATAAAAGTAAAATTTCCATGAATTTTGTGTGGTTGATTTTTGAATGTAATCTGCCTTTGATTAAATATCTTTTTATGCCCTTTGCGCGGGTATCATAGCTTTAAGCACAAGTTTGTAATGCAAGCAATATAATTGTTTATATTTCTTGTTATTTTGGTATAATTTAGAAGACTTTTTATTAAAAAAAAAAAACATTCCCTTATGGAAGGGTATACAAATTAGAACCTTTAATTTCTGCCTTGGTTTCAGTATCTTGCTTTTTGTGTGTGCTTATAAATCAATGGGTATTTCTGTGCTTTTTGTACGCTAAAATATACATATATACATATGTACTATAATTCCCCTATATCTGTTTTTTGGTTTTGGTTTTGCCCTTGATTTAGTCGTAGAACTGGGCAATGGGCTTTGACGTAGGTCTAAATAATCATAAACCATAAATTAAGTGCCTAGTTTCTAGACCTTGGAATAGCCCTCCACTGCTATCACCCTGTCTCTCCCCCCCACATCGCTCTGCCCGTCTCAGCATTCTCTTATCAATGCACTTTTATTTCGCATTTCGCATTGCACTTTGCTTCGTTATCAGTTCTCTGCTGTCTTATTGCGCAGTGAAAGTTTTCCATTTGCATTCTTTGTTTTTTGTTTCCCTGTTCTTGTTGCTTTTGCTGCTATTATTAGTAATTTTTGTTTGTATTGGTTTTAGTTTGTTTTTTATGGTTTTTTTGTTGATTGTAAACATTTTTTTGTTTGCTTTGCTGTTTAATTGGAAATGATTAAAAACTGATATAAATATAATCGCGAATGGAACCTGAATGGGCAGGGAATGCAGTGTGTGAATGCAGGGTGGGAATTGTATAAGAATAAGATTGCCTGCTTTGTGGCTACCACTACTACCTTTCACCCAATCTATAATCGGTACTGCCAGCAGAGTTCTGATGGTTACAAGACACACTTTGAAGCATTTATTCAGTTGTTTTCCTTTTGGTAATATTCTAGAAATATTCTGCTTAGGTTTTATTCATAAAACTCCCCAACTAGATCGAAAATAGGGGCTCAAGCCCCACCACCACTGGGAGAAAGGCCAGAGTTCAACCCTTTGAGAGATTCTGCCATAGATTGCATCATCTGCACCGCAGGGTTAGGTTAACGAACCCAAAGGTCAAATGCTTTTTACCCAGACTCAGTCGCAGTCGACGCTGACAGAGACGGTGGAGAGCGGGGCAGAGAGGCAGACACGATGGCAGTGACAGAGTACGATGAGGCAATGGCAATGCAAATTCAACTGCAGCCAGAAATGGCAAAAATGTATGAAATGTTCCTCCGCGATGATGATGATGATGTCATGGCAACAAATGGTCGAACAAAAAATACATTTATCTTGCGGCAGGATGTCGGATGTCACCCCACCCGAAATCCAGCGAAACTCCAGCCAAAAAGCAGCAAAAGCAATTAAAAACCATAAAGAAATGAAAGAGAGATATGTTGTACCCATAGGTGATCAGATCTCCGGGACTGCATTCTCCTTTTTTGGTGGCTGTTTGTTGCAAGCGGCTTAAAGGCATAATCCTGTGGGCGACACATTACCTTGACGACGACCACGACGACGACGACGCAACAGCAACAACAAACCCGACCTACGACAAAGCGATTGAAAATGCGCATAAATTCGACAAAGGACCAGACCGTGTCGTGTCTGCTCGCCAGGAGTATCAGTGGCAGTGGCAGTGGGAGTGGAAGTGGGTGGAAGTAGCAGGCGTATGGCTTGCAGAGGGGCATATACAGATTGCCTGCCTGCCAGACCATGACAACAAAAAAGTCAAAGTTACAGTTACAAAAAAAAAAAAAGAAGAAAAAAAAAAGACTTTCCGAGAGAGAGAGCGAGAGATGGAAAGAGACAGAAAAAATAAGGGCCAGACAACAGAAAAGGCGAACGACCCTTTTCAGGCATTTTTCAGACGCCAGACGACGCCATCGATGGGAGCTGTGGCTGTGGCGCTGCTATGTTGGGGCAGGGCCCTGGCACCAGCACCGGCACCGGCACTGCCACTGCCACTGGCGCTGCTCTGCTCTGCTTCAGCTCCTTTCAACTCATTATCCTTTTCGCTTTTCATACATAAATCGCACTAGCGATGACTGCTGCTGCTGCTGCTGCTGCTGGCACTGGCGTTCAATGAACTCCACTCTGCCGGGCACGTACGGTCGTCGGCTTTTCCCTACAACAACAACAGCAGCAACAAAAGGAGAAATCCGGGCGTATACACACCCAATACGGAAAGCGAAACACACACAGGACAACGACAGCAAAAGCTCTGCAGCAGCAACAGCAGCAACAGCGACGCCAACACCAGGCAGACATCAGGCAGCAGACAGACCCAAGCGAAGGTCCTGCCCAACTTCGGGCTGGGTTCTGGGTTGGTCTTGACAGTGTACAGAGTGGCAGTGGCAGCAGCCGTAGCAGCAACGTCGGAAAAGTCGCAACAACTGCGCTGCCACCGAGGGCAAGGACCTGGCCAGTCGACTGCAGTCGAGACTCTTGTGCGCCGACGTCATCGCTGTCGTCTGCCCAGGCGCAGCGCAAGTTTCACTTTTAATTTTTTCCACCCATTCAGCATTCAGCAAAAGCCCAAAAGCGCCAGACAAGGCCATGCGAGTGAGCGAGACGACGGTCTGGTGTTTGTGTCTGGGGCCCAGGACAACGTATTTTTGGGGACAGGGAAGGGGGTGCCAACAGGCAGGCGGTACTGTTCCAAGGGTGGAGTGCATTACTGAACTATGTGTGTGTGTGTGTGTGTGTGTGTGTGTGGAGAGAAGGTTATTGAACTGCGTCAGCAGCGACGTTGCAAACTTTCACAATGTTGCAGCAACAGCAGCAGCAGCAGCAGGACTCGTCCGTTGGGTTCGTGGTGGCCTAGGACATGGTCTTGGTGTCGGGTTGGGTCGTGTCGGGCCATTGGTCAAAAGCAAAAGTACATTTTATGCAAAAGGATTTCTAATGCACTTTACCTTTGTTCTTTGTTCCTTGTTTATTGCACAATCACAATCAGAGTGCGTGCAAAAAAATAGAATATTCGTATTTCCTTTTCCTTTTCCGTTTCCGTTGCCTTTTGCCTTTTCTCAGTCTCAGTTGTGGATTTTTTGTGGTGTCTCTCAGTCTCAGTCTTAGGTATCGGCTCCCATGGGGCTGCTGCTGTATTTTAAGCGCGACTTGAAGAAACTGACGATCGAAAAGTTATCCCGAAAATAGATGCGGTTAAAGTATAGAGGTCTACGCCAATGGACGTATGAACACATTGCACAAAACTGCATTGGTGGCATCGCACTGCGGCACTGCGGCCCTGAACTACGAGTATATGGATACATATACATATGCATAGACATGTGCTGGAGCTTATCCTAGGAGCTTATTCTCTTAACTACACACTTAAGCACTCTCTCCTGCTAACATATAACATTTTTTTTTTTTTTTTCTTAATTTTTCTTTTATTTTCTTATTTGGGTTGTTGCTGAACACATATTGTGGTTTTGAATTTTTCCTGCTACTTCTACTTCTATATGCACAGTGGATGTTGTTGTTGTTGTTTCAGTCGTTTGGTCCACGGAACTGCGCCACGGCTGTGCCAGACATGACCTGCCCAACGCGTTAACATCCCGAGTCAGGACTGAAACGAGCTCCGTGCGATGGTCGAGGCAACAGCAGCACCAGCAGCAGCAGCAGCCCAGTCGCTGTTGCAGTCAACGTCAGCAGCGACTGTGACGCCTGCAGAGTGCAGAGACAGTAAGCAATGGGCAAAGCGGAACGGGTGGGGAGGGGGATGTGTGTGTGTGTGTGTGTGTGTGTGTGTGGGGAAAAGGGTCGAGGTATTGGCACTTGCACTTGGCACGGCCTGAACTCGCGCATACGAAAACAATAGCAACAACTGCCACAGAGCCACACAGAACCACACAGCAAGGGCGGCACTCGGGCTTCGTGCTGCTTCGTGTTCGTGTCGAAGCTTTGGCTCCATTCGGTTCGGGTGGAAGTGCAGGCTTGCAGTGGTGGGTGGCTGGCTGGCTGGCTGGCTCTGTGCATGTTCAGGCATGTCTGGGCGGCGAAGCAGCATAAAATATTGCGATAGGTCAGAAAAAGGAGTAATCTGTATTTTTAATATGAAATAAAAACTAATCCGATAAGTATTTGGTACACCTCTAAAAGCCCTTTATTATTTTTAGGAAATTTCAAATTTCAAAAAGGAAATTTCTTTCAGTGCATTGCAGACTAACAAAAAGCTCTCCCATCCACTTGCACTCTCTCCCACAACGCATGCTCCTTCCTGTCCAGTCTCTCTCTCCCCGTTGAGCTAAGGGGCATTTCTTGCATTTCTCGCTTACAAAATTGACCATTGACAATGAACTAGAGCAAAAGCCGGAAATGTCTGGGCCATGGACACTAGGCGTATGCCAAAGCCAAGTCTTGAGAACCCCTTGACCAGTTTACAAAAAAATATTCGCTTAGAACTAACCGACAACAGAGAAGCAGGCAGAAAATTAATAAAGTTTTCTAGGCACGTTTTTAATGGCCAAGCGACAAAAAGAACTGTTAAACCAAAAAAGTAATAGTACAGCCCGAGCATATACCGTTAGTTAATAAAAAGCCATTTTGTCATAGTCAAATTACGACTGGGGGCCCCCAACCTCTGGGTATGGAGCCCGGGTGTAGCACTATTACGTATGCAAGGCGCGTAAATGAGCATAATTTGATTTCCAGCAATCAAAAGACAGAGGGAGATAAAGAGGGAGAGATAGAGACAGAGAGAGGTAACCTCTGCGCTCCAAACACCACATGCAATGGGCATCAATGATCGGACGGCGGACGGGCGCTTTTATCGAGCCCACAATGTCACAGTCAATGCACAGAAAAAACAAAACAAAAATGTAAGAATTTACAGCTAAATGCGATAGTGTCAAACCAACAAAAACAACAACAGCAGCAGCAACAGCAGCAACAATGATGACACAGAACCTGTCGCCTGCAGCAACAAAGTTCAACGTCAAGGGGACGCAACACTTCAAAACACGGCTTTGACTTCGGCTTCCAACTCAAACGAGCTCGAGCTCGAACACGAACACGAACTCGGGCGCATGCGCTTGTGCTCTTCGTGTTGTAGTTCGTGTCTTGCATGTTGCGCTAGCTCGTTCGCTCGCTCGCTTGCTCTCTCTCTCTCTCTCTCACTCTCTTCTCAGGTGTATGCGTATGTATGTGTGCGCTTTGGTTATAACGCGCTTGAGTAGGTCGGTCATTGAACTTGTTTTCTTTTCATCTGCGTCTGTGCCGTCGTTGCTGCTGCTGCTGCCGCTTCGACTTCTTTCATTCTTTTGGACTGGCCACACTTTCTTCCTGGTTTCGTGCGCTCTGCTCTCTTTGCTGCTGCTTTGCCACCTGTGCGTGCGTTGGCGTTCGAGCGCGAACTCTTTTGAGGCTGCGGTCGGTCCGGTCCGGTCCCTCTCTTGCACGCTCTCTTAAGCTGGTTTCTTGGGAGGCTGGCTGGCTGGCTGCTGCTGGCTGCTGGCTGCTCGGATGACTTGGCAGGTCTTGTGCCTGTGCGTGGCAGCAGCAGCAGCAACAATTCTAATTGCAGGCAACTGGCAGAAAGCAAAAGGCAAAGAGTTGGAACCGGGGTTGGGGCCCAAGGTAAGACCAAAGTCAATAACCCTGAGCTGGCCAAGAGTAAGAGTGATTTGATTCCCTTTTCATCGGCTACCTCTGAGAGGAGGAAGAAGAGCAACCAGTGGCAACAGAACCACAAGAGGCAGCAGTAGAGTGCGAGGGGGAGACAGCAGAACACGTTGAGAGCAAGAACCTCTGGAGCTGGAGCTGAAGTTGTAGATGGGAATGGGGCTGGGGATGGGGCTGGGGCTGGGGCTGCGGCTGCGGCTGGAGGCACGCCATGTGCCCATCCATGAGAATTTGCCAGTTGAACGCCCTTTTCACGGCAAATGATTCCCGATTCGCGATGCCTGTACCCCCATAGAGAGTGAGAGAGAGACAGAGAGAGAGAGAGAGAGATGGAGATGGGGGGGGGCCTGTGTTGTTGCAACTTCAACCTGCCCCAAACCCAGCCCCTTGCCCAAGGATGATGCCCGCAGAACAGAATATGTGGAAACTGAACTGGTTTCCCTCTCTCCTGGTCGTTGGTCTTTGGCGCTTTTGCTGCCATGGAATGGGATGTCTCTTTCGCTGGCGCAGCGGCAGATTCACTTTTTTTTTTGTTGGAGCTGCACCTCCAGAGGGGGAATTCTCTAATTCTTAGCCTAGGTCCTTGGCCTCCCTCTCTCTCTCTCTCTTTCTCTCTCTTTCGCTGGCCCAGGCAACTCCTGCTCTGAAATGAAAACGAAAACCCAAAGGAAGGCGCAAGTTTGTTGCCTAAGTCTTTTGTTTGTGTTTTCGTGTGTGTGTGTGTGTGTGTGGGAGTGCGAAGTGGATGGGCCAAAAGAGATGTGACAGTCAATGAACCCTCGGCATGCGTGCCAAATAATACAACAAAAAGATCAACAACAAAAAGAACTACAGCGGAAGAAAGATGAAGAATAGCCAGACCCAGACCCAGACCCAGCCCCAGCCCCAGCCCCACGCCCACCCTCGTGTCACAAGCTCGTACAATGTTAGAGCATACGCCCCAACAAGCAAACCAAAAGCTCATTTAAATTGCAAAAACCCATCTGATCCGAGAGCTATTGAAGATACTCGTATATATACATACGTATATAACTCATTTGGTATGCCAATCGGAATCGCATTCAACAGATTGACGGTTACTCGGCCCCCGAGCAGGTGGTGGGCCCCTTAACAGCTGCAACAACAGCAGCAGCAGCAGCAGCTAATGACCTTGATATTGAAAGTATCTTTGAATTACAAATTCTAAACGAAATGATGGGGGGGGTTAATGGTTGGGGCGGGGGATCTGTTCATTCATCTCGTTTCGTTTCGTTTCGATTTCATTTTCAATTTATTTGTTTATACAATATTTTATAGCTTTTTAGTGTTGTTGTTGTTGCTGCTGCTGCTGCTGCTTCTGTTGGAGCGTGTTAGCGTGCCGATCGTCGGCTGTCGAGAGTCATTTAAAGTCAAAGTCAAGGTTTTTCTGCCTTACGTCGCCAATTATCTCTCTGTCTCTCCCATATATAAACCTTCCTCTCTCTCTCTCTCTCTCTCGATCGCTCTCTCTACTCATATATGTTTGTTTGTACATATATGTATTTCTTTCTACTACTCATATATATGTCTCCACTGCCTCTTTACCCCCCACCCCATTTGGATGTTGTTGTTTGTTTAAGCCCAAACAGGTTTTGTCTAATTATTTTTGTTTTTGCTGATGTGATTATTAAAAAAACTTTATATATATATACAACTATACTCTCGCATCGAAAGACAGGAGGGGGGGGGATACTCGTATGTGTATTTAAGTTTTCTAATGAAATGCCAGCTCCCATCATCATCATCATCCCATTTCGAGCATTCTCTTCGTCGGCGAACCCAAGAACCCAAGAGCTAGCCGTCTGTCTGCTGCTTATGCCATTTTTCTAGCCTGTCTGTAATTAATCACTACTATTCTTCGCCTTCGCCTTCGCCTTGGCCTTTTGGGTTTTTGGGCTTTTTGTTAGGAAACGTGTTTGCGCCCCCACCCCCTTCCCCAATTGTGGTGTGTGGTGGATTATTATATAACATTTCTATCGAAATTTTGATGATTAACATAAATCGCAGGTACCGAAGACTTTCTTTGACGAACATCATGGTTAAAATTAAAAACACAAGTCATAAATTATGATAGTTCTATCAAGGGGGGAGGTAGAGGTGAAAAGGGGTTGCAGCAGAAAATCAGGAATACAAATCCGTAAATAAAGTGATTAAGATGTCCATAAAACAAAAAATGATGAATAACGAAAAATTATCAAAGCATAAATTAAAAGAGAAGTTTTTTGAGAGAGAAAAAAGTTCCAACTGGAAATTAGAAATTACCTAAGAATCAACTTTGGGAATAGATTATGAGATTAATTTCTATAGAATAGGAACTTTGGAAATGCATAAATTAAATATATGTACATCTGCCTGAATAAGCAAGCACATCACATTATGTCATTTTCAGAGAGTATAAAACTTTAACAAAAAAAATCAATAAAAATACCTCATAAACAAGAAAATGCCTTAACGCTTTGACAACCTGTCCAGTTAACCCATGAGAAAGTTTTCCTTTCCAGAACAGTCGGGAAGCCATTTAATGGAGCTCTCAATTATCAAACATACCAAAGATATATATCTTATACAATCTTGTAACGTTTATAGAAACTTTAGGTACATAAACTAAAAATTTACTAGACCATAAATATGGTTTCTTTTTCAGAACCCAGGGGAAATGTTTCATAAAGTTATCACCTGCCATAGGAACCATACCCAAACGAATCTTTCCTGATAGTCGTTCTAGGAACCAGCAACCCCCCACCAAATATCTATGTTCCATAAAAACCTCTCTCTCTCTGTGCTGTACAGAACCCAATCGTTACCTTGTCAACCATATAACTGACTTATGGATATGGCAAAATGTGTAAAAATAAAAAGCCCTGGCAATAAATCAATTAAAAGTCGAAGTCAAAGTATTAGTACTCACCATTTTCATTGTTTAATTGCATATCCGTTCCGTGATGAAGCTGAAGCTGCTTGTGGATGGTGTTGCAGTTGCTGTTGCTGTGGTTGCTGTTGGTGTGGCGGCTAAATGTAAATCCATTACGCAATAAATCCAATCCAATCCAAAAAGCGGTTCATGTTTCAATTAAGATCAACACTTTGTAATCCTCATGCTTGCGTTATATATATATATATACATATGGTTATAGATATAGATACATCTATATATTTACACAAATGCACTCTTTATTTTTTTTTTTTTGTAATTTTTATTGTGGGCGGGAATTGAACTAACTTAAAGATTTAGATGGATATTTGGGGGGCAGTCTTATGGTTTGGTTGTCACTTGTTCTTAACTCTTTTTTTTCTTCCCTCTGATTGCACCTGGGAGAAATGAGGTTTTTTTTTGGGGGGGAGGTGGTGGTTTGCACTTTTGTTTGTTTCACTTGTATCTGCCGAAAGTTTTAGAACGTTTCTGGAATTGTATCTGCTGTCTTGGAAAACGTAACGCGTGCGGGTCTTACGAAATCATGTCTCGATCGTTTTGTTGCTTACGGGAAACTGAAACTACGGATGAGTCGCGGTGCGACTTCAATGTCGATGTCGTTAGAGGCTTCTGAGTGGCAGTGGCAGTGGCTGCGACTGAGGCAGCAGCAGCACCGACAGCAGCGACAGCGGTCGAGCAGACAGATAGACTTTTCAGACATTTCATTACACGATACACACATACACTCTCTTTCTTCTTTCTCTTCTCAAACAAACAAAAAAAACACGCACACATTAAGGTGGTAGGGAGAGAGATAGCGAGAGCGAGCGAGCAAGAGAGAGAGAGAGGTAACCAGCAGTGGCTCAGGTGTCTCAGGTTCTTGATCACCCATACAATTGCCAGAGCGAAGAGATCTCTCTTGGACTGGCTCTCTCTCTCTCCCTATCTCTCTCTCTGTGTGTGTGTGTCTGTCTGTCTGTCACTCTATCTCCTCTCTTTCTTTGTGTGTGAGCGCGCAACAGGCCAGAACTTTCATTCAAGGTGAGCGCGCGCGCGCAGGTATCTCTTTGGCATTGGAAGCAGCAGCAGCAGCAGAAGCAAAGCAGCACCACTACAGCCACAGCCACAGCTCTGCTGCCTGCTGCTCTTTTTCTTTTTTTCGCACAAAATAGTTCTAAACGCCTCTAACACACGAGGGTAGTGGTGGGGATGGGTGGTGGGGGAGGGGAAGGGGTAGCAGTAAATTGAGCATGGGAGCGTAAAATTACAACAAGGCAGCGCCAGAGCAGAGCACGGCCAGAGCCAGAGCCAGAGCCTGGCGTCGCAAGTTTAGAATTCTGCGCAAGCGAAGCGAAACGCAACCGAACGGACCCGCACACACCGATACGATCCCATCCGATCCCATCCGATCCGACCACTTGTTCTCGATTCTCTTAACCCGTTTCCAAAAGCACTCTCCCGCTCTGACCGCTCTCTCACTCTTTCACTCTCTTGGCCAGAAGTCAGCAGTGGCCAGTGGTGGTCAGTGGCAGTGCGGCTGTTGCATGTAATTGGTTTGTTTTTTTTTTTTATTTATTTCTTTTTGGCATATCAAATTTCATTAGGCTATATAATTGCATCCGAACAATTGGCCGCTTAAAAAGGGGAAGTGACAAGGCGACAACACGAGATTTACAAGCTGTTTTAAATGATGATATTTGGTTCGCCTTTTTTTATTGCCTCAAGTCTCAAAAAGCTAACTGGCAGTTAAATATATATCTGTTAATTATGTGTATGGGATATATTCATATTTATATTATTAGATATATTATATTATTATATTTATATTATTTTTTTATTTATTAGATAGTTTATTTTATTATTTATATATTATTATTATTTTTATTATTATTATATTAGTATTATAATTATTATTATTATTTTATTATTTATTTTAAATGACTAAAACTTTTCGTCGTTTCTGGAGCTACTTTTATGTTGTATAAACCTTTTTGCTTTAAAATTAATTTCTGACTTAAAAAATGATCTTAATTATTAACCCAACACCAAAGTTCATGTGTCTGTAGTAAAAGTAAAAGCTTAACTTCAAACAAATCGCCAAATAAACGAGACATGCTAGTCATGCAGTGACTCACACAGCCGATTCATGATCTAATCGAAATCAATAAAATTGCGCTATAAATAATGTGTAAAGCACTTACCCAACGTTCCACTGCTTCCCCATCAACCAGTAGTCATAAAACCTGCAAGGAAACACACACACAAATATATTCGTAAAAACAAATAGAAATACAAATAGAAATACAATCTATTGGTTGGATAATAAATGCCAAATCATGATAATACGCGCAGCACAAAAGACATTAACGAAAACTAATTGAAAAACGAGCATTTACATAACTAAAATGTAATTAACATGGACACAGAGTGTGGTGGCAGCAGGGGGCGAGGGCAGGCGATCAATAATAAGACACGACTCCGTTTCAACCTTGAACTTTACGCTTGAGAGGCAAAGACAAAGGGTGGCCAAAGAGCTAGAGGCTTAAAGACAAACGATAAAGATAGAATGGAGTGGAGTGGAGTGGAGTGGAGAGGCCTCTCCTCTGTGCGAATCCGCATCCGTTTTGGGGGCTGAAGAAAAAGGCCTAAAGACGGACAGACAGGGATGCTCATTAGCTTTGGCCACACTCCGTTTGGCACTGCCATCATTCGCTATAAATAACAATTGAAGCATTCAACAGAGTTCTCTTACAAACAGAAAAAAAGCAGAAACAGAAATAAAAACGAAAGAAACGTTGTAGCAACTGGGATTAGGAACTTTTTGTTTTCGGTCATTAGAACCCTATATTTTTTTGTGTTTTTTTTTTGGTTGGTTGGTTCTTGCGTGCTGTGAGCGATGGGGTCAATAAATTCTTAAATACCACACGAGCATAAGTATAATTTTAATATTTAATATATCATCATTATATCATCAGCGCTGTCCACAAAAGGAGCGTTGTGACTTGAAAGTATAAATAAAAGTGTTTTATGGAAATGGATTTTTGTAAGTATCTATTATATCATCATTCATTTGGAACTATCCAAAGATGGTAAGGAGCTTTCAAGATGAAAGAATCAATAAAAGTGTTGTATGAGCATAGTTGCTGTAATCATCATCCATGGGCTGTCTAAGAAGGGGAAATAACTTGACTACAGATAAATACTTCTAGAGTTTCAGGGATCTCCAAATAGAACTGACATACGAATATAGTTATGCCATGTTGTTATATCATCATTGATAATCACGAAAGGAAAGAACTTTCAGAATAAATAAAAGTGTTTTTGCGTCTCGAAATTCCCCAAATCCATAACAAGTTCCATATCACAATCTCTCCTTCTCCCAACAAGTTCGACCATAATGGAAAGTAAATGTGGGGAAGGTAGGCATAATTTTTAAATAAATATAGAGTCGTTTAGGCCGTAAGCAGAAGCAGAGACAGTCAACAACAAGTGCGTTTTAGGCCTGGCCAAAAACACAAATTCGTTTTTGGGGGCCGCTGTATTATTTAACACCCAAACACAGGCACAGATACAGATACTGATACACAATCGGGGAGATTGAGATTGGAGCGGCCCAAAAGCCGGCATCCACACACAGCTGTCCCCCGGACCCGGCTTAATGTTGTCTTGGCCAACTCATCATCCATCCAGAGCCACAGTCAGAGCCAGAGCCACAGCCAGTGCCAGAGCCCGCGTTTTGTCCGCTTTTGATGGCTCTTTCTGCTGGCTCTCTCACAACATTTTTCTTCTTTTGGGCGCTACAATCATTTCTTTTCTTTACATTTCATTTCGTTTTTTTTTTTTCGGTTAACCAAGTTTATTTCAAGCTCACGCACACACACGCACCGGCCGAACAAGTTCATTGACTTCTTACCAAAATAAAAAAAAATGAAAAAACAAAAAGAAAAAGGGAAAAAGAACCAACATTTCGGTTGTATCTCTTTTTTGGGCTCTGCCGCGCCGCTGCGCGGTTCTTTTTTTGTTGGTTCTTCTTCGTGGCTGCTTTTGAGTTCTTGTTGTTTTCGTTTTTTATACATTTCGTTTTCATTGCTGGAGTTCATTGGCCAGGCCAGAACCACCAGCAGCAGCACCAGCAGCAGCACCAGCAGCAAAAGAGCCAAAGAAGCTGCTGGCTGGCCATACACTTCCAATAAATACAAAAATGATGGCTGAAATGAAAAGGCAGTCCTCCCCACCAAACTTCTTTAAATATATTTTATTTATTACATTTTAACATGTTCTTTATTTCATTTTTTAACCAAAAAGAAATTCTGCCCCTCAAGAATGATTTTTTACGATTTTATTTATGGATTTTCTGTTTCGTTGGGTTTTTTTGTTTGTTTTCTCTGGGTTTCATATCAAGTTTGTCGCCTGAGTCTTTTGTCTTTTGTGTCTTGTGTGTGTGTGGAGTGGAGTGGCGGCGTGATTGATTAGGCAATCATAATTCGTAAATTATTTTGCATGACACCACATTAAAATGACTAGTTAATTTACTGAGTATATGCTTCATTTGCACGCCATCAAAATTTTGGGGGAAATTGTCTGATCAAAGTAGCTACGAATAATTGGACACTGGTCTGAGCTGAGCTGAGCTGAGGGTGGCGTAACTTCAATTTGATTTGCATTTCGGCAGACTGTCAGAATGGTAAGTAATTATTTCGCTTTAATTGTTGGTAATTATTTTTCACTGAAGGAAGGGGTTGGGTTGACTAAATTTAGCTGCCAACTAGTGACTGTTTTGACTAAGAATAGAATAAATGTCAGATATGAAAAGAACTCTCTTCAGAGAGCGAGAGACAGACACAGATCAGATATGCTTTCAATGTTAAAAGATTAAAAAAATTAAAGCCTTTGAGTGCTGCTCCAACTGCTGATTAGACTGTAGCAAATCTCTTCAATGCATCTTCAATGAAAAGGTTTTAAAAGCAACGTTCTTTCTGAATGTCTGAGGAAAGGATTGATCCCTGATCTTGACTTGCGTCAAGGAGCCAACCGAAATCAATCTTAACCCAAATCTTGGCAAGGAATCTGTTTGTTTGTTTGTACGGCTGGTCACTCAACAAATTAAGCAGCTTGCCAGAGTACTCGGATTGTGGCATTGCCACTTGTTGTCAGCTGCAGCAGCCGCCACAACAATCTCAGATCTGGCCATCAATTACCGCCGCTTTTTTGGCCTCCCCAGTGGGTAAGTAGTTCAGCAGTTGCTGTTGATTATGTGTTGCAGCTGCCACTCTGCCACCGATCTCTGCCTTTGCCTCGGTGAGAACTTGACTCTGGGCCCACGCCAGAACAGAACAGAACAGAACAGCAGAGCACAGAACCGAACCGTGTGGCGGCTTCAACTATTTAACTGTTCGTCGAGAGGCGGCTGCTCCACAGAGTAAGGGGGCGGCCGCGAAAGGTGTTAAACACACGCGCGAATTTTGCGGTAAAAGCTCTCACCGCACAACACACACACACACACTCACACACACATAGATGCAGACAGACACAGATACTCATTGATAGACTCTGCCACTTGGCTCCAGAGTCTGGTCTGTCAGTCTCAGCTTCAGCCACAGCTACAGCTTCAGTCTGCGTCTCCGTTTCCGTCTCTCTGGCTGACTCTGACTGTTGACTGTTGCTGCTGTTGTTATCTATGTGCCAAACCTGATTTACTTCATGATTATGTTTGAAAAATTAGGTTAGGAGCAATGAACTTGCCATTCGTCAGAGGCTGGAATGGCAACCGGCCAACGGGAGACGCCACTGGAGAATCGGAGACGGCGACAAAGTGAATGCTTTTCTCTGTTTACCCGTCAGTCTGCTGTCCCCTGTCCCGTGTCCCGTCTGTCTGTCTGTTTGTCGTAGCAATAGACACCTGTACGTCGGCTGTCTCTCCAGAATCATTGCACTGTGGCCGGAATGGACTTTGATTGGATGCCTGTTGCTCGTTTGGTCGGTGAATGTTCGCCCATCCCCAGCAAAAGGAAGCAAAAGCGTTTAGCCGATGGGAATCTAAAGAGGATTCTATTTCGGTGGTGAAACGAAGCGAAACAGTTCTCATTTCTGAATAAAACATTATTTATTTTTTTTTATTTATTTATTAAAGATTAGCAAATTAAAGGAAAAAAAGGGGATATAAAAAATAATTAAAAACTAGAGGATTATAGGTACAGGTATATCTTACTGGCTATAATTTTAAGGGATAATTCAGGGGATAGGGTATGACAAAGATTATTATTAGAGCATATTTGCATGAATAAAACTCCTTAAGGGGAAATTTTGAAGAGTTTCAGAGCCTATCAAAACGAATAGATTTATTTTCAATCCAATCAATTTTTATCCATATTTATCTTAAAGGGAAATCCATATTCAAAAGGATCACAAATGATCTGCCAGCTATAACTGCCTCCCAAAATATACAAAATTCCCTTAAAATAATTAATTATTAATTAAAATTAAAATTCTCATCTCAATCTTAAGCCTTTCCTTCCAAAAAGTATCTGCCAACAAAAACCACCCGCCGAAGCGACATCGAAGACTGTGAGAATCAATAAGAAACTCCCCGCGACTCCGAGACTCTGCCAACTGCGGCTCTTGGCCAGGTCTTGGTCTTGGAGCCAGCGATTGCTGAAGGAATTCACTCTTTTTCCGCAACGAAATGAAAAATGTGTGCTAAGCCAATGACCGACCGACAGAAGCAGCAGCGGCAGCAGCAGCAGCAGCAACAGCAACGTCGACAGCGATCGCGGCGGCAGCAGCAGCAGCAGCGCACACAAAGGCAAAGCTAACTGTTAACATAAATACGTGTGTACGTGGGGCATATTCGCAAATCGCGAACAAGTTAAGAAAGAGGAAGGCGGCAGAAGAAAGGGGGGAAGAACAAGCTGAAGAAAGGGGCAACGAAAGGGGGGAAGAGGGAAGAACAAGCTGAAGAAAGAAGTGGGATGGAAGTGGAAAGAATCGTGAATCGAGCACCAGCTACCTATCTCTCTCTCACTGACTTCAAGTGTTTGTGTCAATCTCCCCTCCCCCACACACTATTCCCCCTCTGCCTTTAAGCTTCTTCCTGCAGCCTACGCCAGATCTTTGCTTTGCTTTGCTGCTGCGCTGTCTCTGCTCCGTAGTTTGAGGCGGTATTTGGAGGGGGAGGAGGCATGATTATGATTACTCCACCACCACTCCACCGAACGACACTCCAGCAGCAAAGCAAAGCAAAACC